TGTCATCTGCAAACACTGATACATGTCTTTCAATGCCCATTTCAAGATCATTTATAAATATGTTAAATAGAAGCGGTCCCAAAATAGAACCCTGAGGGACACCACTTACCACTTTTGTCCAGCCTGAAAATTTACCATTAATGACAACTCGTTGTACTCTATCCTTAAGCCAATGTTCTACCCAAGAACAAGAATATTCATCTAGAGCAATTTCTTTTAGTTTGAAGACTAACCTATTGTGAGGAACCGTATCAAATGCCTTGGCAAAATCAAAGTAGATCACATCCACTGCAACACCCTGATCTATACTTCTACTTACTTCTTCATAGAATGCAATTAGGTTAGTTTGACATGACCTATGTTTCATAAAACCATGCTGATTATTGCTAATAACACAGTTCTTCCCAATGAATTCCTGAATATTATACCTTAAAGGAACACTATAGTCACCTAAATTACCTTAGCTAAATAAAGCAGTTTTAGTGTATAGCTCATTCCCCTGCAATTTCACTGCTCAATTCACTGTCATTTAGGAGTTAAATCACTTTGTTTCTGTTTATGCAGCCCTAGCCACACCTCCCCTGGCTATGATTGACAGAGCCTGCATGAAAAAAAACTGGTTTCACTTTCAAACAGATGTAATTTACCTTAAATAATTGTATCTCAATCTCTAAATTGAACTTTAATCACATACAGGAGGCTCTTGCAGGGTCTAGCAAGCTATTAACATAGCAGGGGATAAGAAAATCTTAATTAAACAGAACTTGCAATAAAGAAAGCCTAAATAGGGCTCTCTTTACAGGAAGTGTTTATGGAAGGCTGTGCAAGTCACATGCAGGGAGGTGTGACTAGGGTTCATAAACAAAGGGATTTAACTCCTAAATGGCAGAGGATTGAGCAGTGAGGCTGCAGGGGCATGTTCTATACACCAAAACCGCTTCATTAAGCTAAAGTTGTTCAGGTGACTATAGTGTCCCTTTAATAGCCGTTCAAATAATTTCCCAGTCACAGAAGTTAAGCTTACAGGTCTATAATTTCTAGGCAAGGATTTTGAACCCTTTTTAAATATAGGAACAACATCTGCCTTCCTCCAATCCTCCAGTACAATACCTGAAACAAGAATCTTGAAAAATTAAATACAGAGGTTCACTTATTTTCCCACTTAGCTCCTTAAGTACTCGTAGGTGGATACCGTCAGGCCCCAGAACTTTATTTATATAAATTTTCTTTAATACCTTTATATCATGGCAAGCATTTCAGAAGTTTAAGCTACAGTAGCTCTTCTGAGTGATCGGACCAGACGGGCTAGCCTTTGGCTCTGGATGTCCTTCCTTGAGCCACTTTTAGTAGGTACAAGGCTTGCCGTTTTGGAGATGCTCTGACCCAGTTGTCTAGCCATCACTCTCTGGCCCTTGTCAAAGTCACTCAGATCTTTTTGCTTGGGCATTCTTCCTACTTCCAACACATGAAATTCAAGAACTGACTATTCACTTGCTGCCTAATATATCCCACCCTTTGACAGGTGCCATTGTAATGCTATAATCAATTGTATGTTGTGGCTGATCAGTGAATTATTGAATACACCAGTCAGGTTATATATATGTACTCTATTACAGTACATTGTGGATCTCTAGGTCATCTTGCTTGAAATGTTGTTATGGTGTTATTGAAAATATGGGGACATTATATCGTGAATTTTATTCTACTGTTTGCACATCTACATGTGCCTGTTCTTAAATAAAGAATTAAAAAAAAACAAAGTTAAAAATATAATTCTTTTAATAAGGGTATTAATTGTCACGTAATTTCTTCTGTGAGGAGTCATGGTGTGAAGCATACAGGTTGTGCTGGTTACTCATTGAAAGCTACAGTAATAAATTATGTCATTCGGTCCTGGAGGAAGTCTCGCATCCAGTCAGACTTTCTCCATTATAGATTCACATTGTGTTCATACAGCGCAGCCCTTGCCCTCGCCAAACCGTCATACTTTTCCTCTCTCATTAGTTCATGCTCCCGCAATCCCAGGCGTCTCTTTGACACATTTAATTATCTTCTCCGCCCTGCTGTGGCCACCCCCTAAACTAACCTTACAACCGATAGCTTTGCATGCTACTTTACCGACAAGATTTATCAGCTAAGGAAAGAATTCTCCACACCTTGCCGTTCTCTTTCTCAACCACACAGTAGATCATGCCTTTCCTACCCTTCAGACTTTCTCCCTGGCTACTGAACAAGAGGTGGCTGGTCTTCTCCTTTCCTCTCGCCCCACCACTTGCCTGCTTAATCCCGTCCCATCTTACCTTATCAGATCTCTCTCCCCTTGTCTTGTGCCTTCCTTAACACACATCTTCAGCTGCTCTCTTACTTCTGGCGTTGTCCCTGCTGACCTTAAACAGCCACTGTAGTACCTATCCTGAAAAAACATCTCTTAACCCGTCCTCCCCCTCTAACTATTGTCCCATTTCCCTGCTCCCTTTTTCCTCAAAGCTTCTTTATCCGTTTGTCTCACTTCCTCAATTCCAACTCTCTCCTTGACCTTTTTCAATCTGGCTTCAGCCCTCTCCACTCTCCTGAGACTGCTCTTATCAAAGTTATTAACAACCAAATCACAGCTAAATCCAAAGGCCACTACTCCATACTTATTCTTCTTGACCTCTCTGCTGCCTTTGACACCGTTGATCATGCTCTCCTTCTTCAAATTCTTCAACTCGGTCTCCGTGACTCTGTCCTCTCGTGTATCTTATCTCTCCCAGTGCTCATTCAGTGTCTCCTTTTCTAATGATACCTCATCCCTTTGTCCTGTCTCAGTTGGAGTCTCCCAAGGCTCCATCCTTGGTCCCCTTCTATTTTCTCTTTATACTGCCTCTCTTGGCAAACTTATTACCTCATTTGGGTTCCACTACCACCTGTACGCTGATGACACCCAGATATATTCTGCTTGCCTTTCTTTCATCTCGGACTGGATGTCCTACCGCTTTCTGAAACTCAATTTCTCTAAAACTGAGCTCCTTGTCTTTCCTTCTCCTAATACTGATCCTCCTCTTTCGATCTACCATCAAGTTAGTGGTACCCACATAAGTCCATCCTTGCAAGCGCGCTGTCTTGTCGTCATATTTGATTCTGGCCTGACCTATGAGTCTCACATCCAGTATGTTGCCAAATCCTGTAGATTCCATCTTAAAAACATAGCCCACATCTGCCCCTTTCTTACGCAAGATGCTACCAAGGAGTTTGTCCATGCTCTAGTAATTTCCCAAATGGATTATTGTAACCCTCTCCTAATTGGTCTTCCCAAAAGCCGTATTACCCCGCTACAGTCTGTAATGAATGTTGCTGCCAGACTGATTTTCCTCTCTAGTCGGTCCTCTCACACCTCTGTCAGTCATTACATTGGCTTCCTGTATCCTATAGGAGTCAATTCAAAGTACTAATCCACACTTACAAAGCATTGAACAATTCTAGCCCCTCATATCTCTTCACAGACCCATAGGTATGCCCCTTCACGGTCTCTCCGCTCTGCCCATGACCTTCTCCTGTCCGCTGCTCGCACCCATACGGCCAACTCACGCTTGCAGGACTTCTCGCGGGTGGTTCCCTTCCTATGGAACAGCCTGCCTACCGCCATCAGACTCTCCCCTAGTCTTCAATCGTTTCAAAAGTGCCTTAAAACCCATCTCTTTAGGAAAGCTTATGGTCTCCCAGAGTAACCTCTACCTCACATACCCGTCCTTTCCTCTCTCCTAAAGGGCAGTACTTTACTCTGTCCTCCAGCTCTGCTTCACTCCCACCTTATTTGATTGCTATTTCCTGTCCTAATGTGTTTTATATCCCACCTCCTATAGACTGTATACTTGTTTGAGCAGGGTCCCTTTTCAACCTATCGTTCCTGTAAGTTTTCTTGTAATTATCCCATTTATAGTTAACCCCCCCCTCATAATATTGTAAAGCGCTACGGAATCTGTTGCCGCTATATAAATGGCAATAATTATAATGCACACTTTCTGCCGGCTCATGTCTCCAGCCTGGAAACCTGGTGCATTTTTAAGCTGACCTCAGGAACCTGATGACTCAGAGAAACACTTAACACAGACTGTAACTCATCTTCTGAAAATCCCTAAGGCCACGTTTTTTTTATTGTGCGCCTCGTGCACATCCCATAATCCTTAGTGTAATTATAACAGTCTGTGTTACAGGCCAGTAATGTTTTAACGTGACCCTAAACTTTGAAAATAACGTGTTCCTATTTAAAATGTAGAAGTTCTCTTTAGTGTTAAACCGCTGTAAGAACGTTATTTTAAAACCAAGAAGGCCCCCGCTTCTCAATATTTCACACCCGAAATGTGGTGTATTGTGGAAAAAACATGGATTAGTTGGCTTGAGTGTGCCCACCCACTACAGTGCTTTTTGGAGAGCCAGGAGGATGCCCAGTCCCCTACACTAATAGTGGCATTCCCCCATATAAAGTGCCAGGGTAGGTTTATGAATGCTACATAGCAGCCCTAATAAAGTCCCTATCTCACCTGGGCCCCTATTTATGTGGTGTTGGATGTTGGAACTTCTCTTTGGTGATCACCAGAACTCTAATGCCATGGACTTAAAGGTCCACTATAGGCACCCAGACCACTTCAGCTTAATGAAGTGGTCTGGGTGCCAGGTCCAGCTAGGTTTAACCCATTTTTTTTTTTTTTTTATAAACATAGCAGTTTCAGAGGCATTCTGTGTGTGTGTGTGTGTGTGTGTGTGTATATAAATATTTATTAAAAAATTGATTTAATGTGCCATTTGTTTTTATTTATTTATTTTGAGAAATTCTAAAATCTAATATCCAAAAGATAAAATTAAAGTGTGTTTTGTAATCAGTACAGCCAGGGGTTACTGTGTAATAGGCTCTAAACTGTAACAACATGGCTGGAGTGCAGCCAAATCAGAGTTAACGGTCACCATGGAGACAGTGAAGGGGACGCAGTGGGCGGCGGGATACCGGCAGCCCGTGACGTCACGCGGCCCCGCCCTGAAGTTTCCATTGCCATGCAGCAAATAGTCCCGGCTCAGAGTATCGCGTGCGCCCCCCCCTTTGTGTCCCTCCGCCCCGCCATGGAGTGCCCGCATCTCACGTCCAGTGTGTGCATCGGCCCGGACTCCGCCGCGCTGCCCAGCGGCTGCCCTTCATCGTGGTGCTGCAGCGGTGAGTGAGGCCCCTCCCCCTGCCCGCTCCGTCTCACTGTCCGTGGAGGGGGGGCGGGAAGCAGCGCCGCCTGGCTGCGGTTCCCAGGAAAGTCCCCGGCTCCGGCCTAGTCCCAGGGAGAGAGGGATAGCATTGTGCAGACCGAGGGAGCCGGGTAGTAAGGAGCACGGGCAGAATAGATCATACATAGTCACTGGTGGGATTGGAATACAATGCACATCATCCAGGAACACAATGCACAGCATCCGGGAATACAATACAATGCACATCATCCAGGAACACAATGCACAGCATCCGGGAATACAATACAATACAATGCACATCATCCAGGAACACAATGCACATCATCCAGGAACACAATGCACAGCATCCAGGAACACAATGCACATCGTCCAGGAACACAATGCACATCGTCCAGGTACACAATGCACATCGTCCAGGAACACAATGCACATCGTCCAGGAACACAATGCACATCGTCCAGGAACACAATGCACATCGTCCAGGAACACAATGCACATCGTCCAGGAACACAATGCACAGCACCCAGGAACACAATGCACAGCACCCAGGAACACAATGCACAGCACCCAGGAACACAATGCACAGCACCCAGGAACACAATACAATGCACAGCACCCAGGAACACAATACAATGCACAGCACCCAGGAACACAATACAATGCACAGCACCCAGGAACACAATGCACAGCACCCAGGAACACAATGCACAGCACCCAGGAACACAATGCACAGCACCCAGGAACACAATACAATGCACAGCACCCAGGAACACAATACAATGCACAGCACCCAGGAACACAATACAATGCACAGCACCCAGGAACACAATGCACAGCACCCAGGAACACAATGCACAGCACCCAGGAACACAATGCACAGCACCCAGGAACACAATACAATACACAGCACCCAGGAACACAATACAATGCACAGCACCCAGGAACACAATACAATGCACAGCACGCAGGAACACAACACAATACAATGCACAGTATCCAGGAACACAATGCACAGCATCCAGGAACACAATACAGTGCACAGCATCCAGGAATACAATAATAATGGGGGTTTAGTTACAGTATATGATCATACATTGCATAAGCCTGCCACAACAACAATGGACCCCATTCTTGGCAGGTCCTACAAAAGCAACCCTGGTTTGATCCATCCATCTAACCAAGGTTGCTATTGTACGTACATAGACAAACTCGGTGTACAATGTCTCTTGTGAATGCACTGGACTTTATAACAGTATGAAAAATGTAAATAAACAAAACTCTTTTAGTAACTCTGTTTGACCTGTATTGGCAGAGGAAGGGCAGTGTGTAAACCTACTTTTGTGATGGTCTAGTAGTCTATTTCATGTAGTTGATGTCTGGGAAATTTGAATGGGTCTCTTGCTGCTGGGATAGAATTGAATGTGTTGAAAATCAAAACAAATCTCGTTATGGGAACACCGTAACAATATAGTCTACACTTTGACGTTTAAAATGTCTACTCTAAACTGTGTGTAATGAGAAACCAGTTTGCAGTTATTTTGTTCATGCCTCAGGTGTCTTAATTCTTTATTTATGTTTTTAAAACTAGTTTGGCACAGATAGATGTTGTATTGCATGACTTTAAGAAAGGGAAGGGTACAGAATTTAATGAGCACACACATGGATCGTGACTCCCATCAGTCTCAGGCAGCCTGGGTGATGTATGTCCCAGTGCAGCAGTAAGAAGGAGGCGTGAGTGAGTGGGTTTGTATAGCTGTCGGTTTATTCATAAAACTAAAAATGATTTATTAAAAAATAAAAATACATTGAGGATGCGCTTGTTTTCAATTATGTTCTTTAGTGAATAAATATTTGCAATATTTAGGCCAAAAGCTAGTCTTGCAAAATTCTCAAATTTAGCTATTGTCAAAGCCTGGCTTTTAAAGCACAATTTAGTGTTTGGCGAATAAGCCTGTGTGTATGTGTATCTACAGGAGAACTATGCCACTTCAGACTCTTGGACACTTTGTGGTTCCTGATCTCTCCAGCACCCCTCAGTGGCATTTTTTTCCTTGTAATACACTGTTCACCATTCTATATTTTATACTAAATTAATAAAATCAGGTTATTTCAAGCCACATTATCTGCTGGGCAAATTCCCCTTTTATTCTCAAAGTGTTGGAGCAGTTTTGTGTGTGTTTTTTTTTTCTTTCCCCCCTTCTCCCCTCCCCCCCCTTTATCACTGTCTGTGATTAGCTGAGATGGGAAGCTATTGTCTACTGAATGGCACAGTTCAGTTTACAATTCATCATTTAGTGAATAAACCCCAAAATAAACAAAAGGCAAAAACTACTCCGCTCTGAAAACCTTCCAGGCTAAAGGAAGTTGGATATAATTAGATGGAAGGTGAAGGACTAGCTCTGTGCAATTCTATTGTCCTCCCTTCACATGCATTTTGTTTTCACTGGAGCATATTGATCTGTAACTTGAATACTGGGGTTTGTCTTAGAGGGCTGCTCACTAAATTTGAGAGACTTACATTAGAATGGCCGAATTGGGGCTAAATGAGTTGATCTGGTTTAGTCACTGCTTGGGTATTGTCCACTCAGGTATGCTATTCGGATTTAATTTCCTAAAATTTGTAAATAGTCTCTCTGATTGTAGTCTTCGGTAATCCCAGGGTGGTGGGCCAGGGCTGTAGAAAGGAGGGGCTTGCCTACATGTGATTGTGCTCTTATTGTTGAAAGAAGCCACTCTGACTGCAGTGATTGTGGTTCCTGAATCCTGATTTCCTTGGGCGAGGTCACTTAGAAGCTAGTTCCTGACTTCTACTCTAGTGTCCCTTTTCCATATATATATATATATATATATATATATATATATATATATATATATATATATATATATATATATATATATATAATTTTATTTTTTTTTTTTTTTTTTAAACCATCACACAGAGCTATACTGCTGGATTCCCTTATACGTGGTTTTTATGCAGTGAATAGCTGCATTTACATATTTTAGCATGAGTGTTCTACAAACACGTTTTTCTTCCTCATTGTTTAGTGTTTTCTTTTTATGTGAGGAAACATTTCTGTAAGTGTGTGTGTATATGTATGCATATGTGTAATAGCTATATATTTATATCGTATAGTATAAAGTACAGCTATGGTACGTGGGCTAACTAGAGATAGGACTTGTAAATTCACAATTAATATTCCTAGCTATACTACAATAAATGTGTTTAGTAAATAATCTGTAAATACATTGTACTTGTTCTAAATTACATTTTATTTGTTGCTGCTAGTAAGCCACCTAAAATTTCTCAGAACCACATCTGCTAAAATTAAAGGGACATTATAGTCACCTACATTACTACAGCTTAATGTAGTCGTTCTGGTGTCTATAGCATGTCCCTGCAGTTTAGCAGTGTAAACACTGTCTTTTCAGAGAAAAGGCAGTGTTTACATTGCTGCCTAGTAACACATCTAGTGGCAGTCACTCAGAGAGCCACTAGAGGTGCTTCCTATCTCAGTGCTGCACGATCTGCATGAAGTTGCTGAATGTTTCTTCTTACTGATGCAGTGATTCAATGCATCTCTATGATTAAACGCTGGTTGGCGCAGTGTGGTGTTTTTCCGCAATAGCCTCCCAATGCTTTCCCCATCAAGATTAATGATCTCAGCCAGGGAGAAAAGGTAAGTTTTAACCCTTTCATCTCGACAGACAGGGTGGTAGGGCAGCTAAACCTAGATTCCTGCCATATAGTGTCAGGAATACATGTTTGTGTTCACGATCCTATAGTGTTCCTTTAAAGTGTCCCTCTTTGTCTATTTGAAGTGTTGGGAGATATGCAGTATCACAAATAAATTGGGCAAAAAAACAAACCCTTTGTGTTTCATGCCTTAAGGGCACTTGCACAGTGAGTTTGTAATCTGATTTTGGCACCAAATAAATCTCACATTCTTTATTGAAGCAGGCTTTCCAGAAAATCATTCACTAGGAGTTCCAAGGTTACAGTAATGTTTAGGAAGGCAAACTCTGCTGCAGGAAATGATTATATCCTTGTTTCAGTCATTTCTCGAATGAATGGCAATTTATTACCTGCTGTACAGCTCCCGCATCTTCATAGAAACCTTAGATAAACTCGTACATCTGAAAGTTTTCAGCAATTGGTGTTGCTATGGTGGAAATAGATCTTGAAGCTCTGTTTTGTTTTTGTTTGTTTTTTTGCACGTGAAGGATTAATCTGGACTCTATTAAATAATTTGACAGTCTTGTATGTTTAGACAGTAGTAATGACCATTTTAAAAAGTATTCTATTCTAATTTGTGAATAAAACAAAAATGCTAAATTTACCCACAATAGACACATTACACTAGTCAGTGCTAGTTATACTACTTTTTTTTTTTTTTTGTTATTCTTGTTTGGGTGTGTGTTTTATTTATTTATTTTTCTTAAACTACTGATATCTTGTGAAGACCACACTTTGTGGCTCTCGATAGGTACCACTTTGGGGGCCCCCTTCACAATTATTATGAAGACAGTTAGTGGGGCCAAACATTTTCATGGTTGCTGCTGGGGCCCCTGAATAATCCCTGGGCTTTGTGTCATCTTCTAGTTAGAAAGCTGTAAACTCGCCTTAAACTGGTGTTTTAATTGTCATCCATTAATTCTGCTCTTGGCCTACAGGCTCTAAGAATGTACACATTGAGTTAATGCACACATTAACATTAATTAATGTGAACCATTATCGTGGGTATGGAATGCATGTACTATGAATTGTTTACCACCGAGGTCTGTGTTGAAGCTCTTAAAGGGACTCTCCAGTGCCGGGGAGGGGGGTGGGGGGGGGGAATTAGCAAAGGACGGGAAGACCATCACATTGCAAATAAAGAGAAACCCAATATTAAAAAAAAATAAAATAAAAAAAAATAAATAAAAATAAAAAGTCCCCTTAAAGCGAGTCAGACATAAATGTTTCTTTGTTCAAAGGTGTTGATGCAGTCTTCTAACCAGTATCCTGTTCACTGATAGTCATTGCTACATTTTTACCTTCATATGATTTATGTATTTCTAATTTGATATCTTTCTTACAGTGTGTCGCTCAAACAAAAGCCCATGGGTCTGTCTAACTTGTTCCAGTGTGCACTGTGGAAGGTGAGTTCTGCACAATTTTCAAAAATATGTTCTGTTTTGTCCAATTTTATGGCAGACTTATGTATTGGGTACTAATTGAAAATGTTCCCTAAAGGGGATCTGTCATCTACAAAGTTCTTTTAACTTCAGTACCAAAAACAAGTATAAACTGTTTTTCATTTTTATGTTTTTGAATGTTATCTGGTCCATAAATCCTCACCCATCCAGGATTGGCCTCAGGGCCAATCCTGGATGGGTGCACGGGTTGCACCTCGGCCAGGCACCAGAAGGTGGGGAGCGCTGCGAAGAGTGGGCCCGTTACAGAGTGCCTAGGAGGTTGGCCACCTCAGGCACCCTTTGAGGCAGTGGAATCGCAATGGTGGGTGGGGGAAATGAGATGCCAACAAGGCCCACCTGTTCCTGTGCTACTGCACTAGCTTAGTGTCTGTCTCCTCAGCCTCTCCCTAGTGCAGCACTGAGTGTCCTTTTTCTTGGCAACGAGTAGCTACGCGAAATATGCTAACCGGCGCCAAGTGTCAGCCTGCCTCCTTTCCACCACTCGCCGAACCATATGAGCATTGCCCGTATAGCTACCTTGTGCTTTCTGTAGAGGTGCCGGGAGCTGGAAGGTGATGTCACTCCAACCCAATCACCACTGCAGGGCGCACAAGGGAGCTATACAGGCAATGCTCATATGGATTAAAGTTCCCTCCGAAGAGCACAGTGGCAGTCCACACTAGACCCCAGGTTGTGGATCCACTCCAGTTCTCATAAAGGTAAGCTGTAATACAAAAAAAAAATCATACTGTTGCCACCCACCCACTTAAACCCCAATTCCCCACAATGCTGCCCTTAATCCCCCACACTAAAGATCCAGTCCCCTACAATATGGCTCCTGTCACCATCACAATAAAACCCCAATCCCCCACAATACTGCTCCTATCCCACCACACTAAAGCACTTTTTAACGTACGATACAGCTCCTTTCCCCTCACACTACAGCCCCTATCCCACCAGAATACAGCCCAGATATTTGGCCTGCTTGGTAAGTGAGTGTGTTTCAAATCAGTGACGATGTGTGTCTGTCATTGAGAGTGTGTGCCAGTGTGTCTCTCTATGTGTGTGTGTCTGCAGTGAGTGTTTCAAATCCGTGAGAGTGTGTGTGACTGTCAGTGAGTGTATCTGATTACAATAGGGGTGGGACTTATAGATAGACATTTTTGAAGGGGAGGAGGTTAGTAAGCACTCCCACGGGGGGTGGGTGGGAGAGAGAGGGGGCAAAATAATTTCTCCATCCAGGTGTTTGTAATAGGGATCGACCGATTATCGGTCTGGCCGATATTATCGGCCGATATTTGGTATTTTCGGCAATATCGGTATCGGCCAATTTAGATACCGATATTGCCGATAATATATAACAGGACCGCCGGGCCCATTACAAGCCCGGCGGTCCTGTGGGGGCCAGCAGCAAGCGCTGACTTACCTTGCAAGCAGCTCCAGCAGCTCTCTGTGTAAATCTCGCGAGACCCGCGGCCGCAGAGCGTTGCCACGGGTTACCATGGCAACGCTCCGCGCGGCACTAAGAGCCGCGAGATTTACACAGGGAGCTGTAGGAGCTGCTTGCAAGGTAAGTCAGCGCTTGCTGCTGCTGAGCCACCACTGTACTTAACAAGCCACTGGACCACCAGGGGATACTATATCCCCCTCCCTGGTAAGAAGCAGGGAGGGGGGACTAAACAAAAAATATTTTTTTTTTTAAATATTAAAATAAAAAATTACACAAATTACATCACTACACAAACACACACTGCACACACTCTGCATTACATACACACTACACAAACACACATTAGGGGGGGACTAAACAAAAAAAAAACATTTAAATATAAAAAAAAAATTTAAATAAAAAATTACACAAATTACATCACTACACAAACACACTGCACACACTCTGCATTACATACACACTACACAAATACACACTACACAAACACACACTAGGGGGGGGACTAAACAAAAAAAAAACTTTTAAATATTAAAAAAAATATTAAAATTACAAAAATTACATCACTACACAAACACACACTGCACACATACTGCATTACATACACACACACACTGCATTACATACACACTACACAGACACACACACTGCATTACATACACACACTACACAGACAGACACACTACACACACACTGCATTACATACACACACACTGCATTACATACACACTACACACATACTGCATTACATACACACTACACAGACACACACACTGCATTACATACACACACTACATTACATACATACACACTACACAAACACACACACTGCATTACATACATACACAAAAACACACTGCATTATACACACACACTACATAAACACACTGCATTATATACACACTACACACTGCATTATATACACACTACATTCATTATACACACACTACACAAACACACACTCTGCATCCACTACACACACACACACACTACACAAACACACACAGTTCCCATGTCTAAACACACTTCATCCACTACATGTGGCATGTATATTTTGTGCATTTACCTTTCGAATTAGTTTATTTATTCAAAATAGTAAATGTACAGAATATCGGCAAGATATCGGCTATCGGCCTGAAAGTTCGCAGAGTATCGGTATCGGCTCTAATAAATCAATATCGGTCGATCCCTAGTTTGTAACTCTACTCCTGCTCACCATCATTTATACTGTAGTATATATAGTTATGAGTGCTATAGGATTTCTAGAAGAAAAAAGAAACTGCCAGAAGCCAGTAGTCGCTCACCCTCTTCTTCCAAACAGTAAATGAAGTTTCAATGGGTCATAAGATCCCTACGGTCAGAAGGTAGGGAACGGAGTAGGAAGAGCTCAGAGGGCAGCTCTCCCTAGCTGCCCGCCCACAATATTAGTAACCCCCTGCCTCAGCGGGACCCTGAGATGGTGAGGGCCAGCTCCTGGACCTTCTTTGAAAGAGGCTAACCAGGCATCTGCCAGGGCGCTTTGGTGGGACGGCGTTTTTTGCCACCTGCTGAAAGTGCCACACAAGGCAAACGCCTTGTTAGCCTTTTTGAAGATGGTCAGGCTATAGACACCAGAAGGTTGCATAAAACTATGCATGAATGCTTATTTGTAGTAATAAAAATCTAATTTTGCTTTTAAAATTAAACTCTCTAGTGTTTCTCTATCCATTGCTTTTAGTGCTTTAGTGTTGTCAATGTCATGTAAATATTGCTAGAGGACTTCCTGATGTAATCAATAAGTAACTCTGTAATGCGAGAGAGCATGCCAGCCTCTGACTGCTGGGTTAAATATTTTCCCTGTTTAAAGTCATGCTTGCGTCAGGAAACACATACTCGATGGGAGACTAGACAAAACCATTTGTAGTCAAAAAAACATTGCTTTATTTGATCTCTGGAGGCAAGTACTCCTGGGTTTTAATCCCTTCATCATTTTATCCTACATGGGTTTATTTATGGATTTTTATTTATTGCTGTGATGTCAGATATTCCTGTTTGGCACTAAACCTTTTACTTTTGGATGGATGAGATCACCTCTGTCCGTGTATATTTCTTTAGCCTGTTCAATTACCTAGGTCAGTAGGAAATCGTATGTGAGCCTAATGAATGCGATTTGGTAGCTGGTAACAACAAGGAGAATTAAAAGGAAAATAGGTTGCGCCCTTTTCCCCTCTGGATATAACAACAAGGAGCCTGCTTAAACACAACCACTGGAACCACAGTGTTGCACCGTGCTTCACGGACCACTCAGAGGATATCTTTTCAATCGGTGTGTGATGACCAATACAGCAGGGGCTACAAACATATGGTGGTATTCTTTCACTTACAGGATATCAGGGAACGGAAATGTCTTTAATAGCGTTATGGCCTTCCCACGTGTTATTTTGGGACATAGAATTTGGATCCAGTATGTTTAGGACATTGACATTATATTTAAATGGTTACTCAAAATGTATTTAAAAATGTATTAGGTATCCAAACAGCATTTCAAATTTACACCATATTAGTGAAACAATCTCCCAAATCAGTAATATTTGGCTGTTTTACCGGATAAATTGAAATTCAATTAGAACACACACTTTAGTGAACAACTCCATTACAGGCTTTAGATTGGACAACACTGTTTAAGATTAAAGTATTGTTTTCTCAGTGGTAAAGGGACTGTACTCTGTAATATTTAGAGTCTAGTGTAAGTGATTCACCCTGAATGTTGCCATTGCTTTTAATACAGCCCTCTATTTATAGAGAATTCATTAAACGGACACCGTAGACCCCGAAAGCACTTTAGCTGCGTCCCCCCCCATATTTAATAAAAAGAGCAGACTTTTCTAAATCAGTTGCTCAGCACGTGCGTCTTTCAAAGAATTCTCATTGAGCTGCATTGGGAAGTCTGTAATTGGACAGACACAGAAAGACATTTGGGGGAAAGTGTAGGCTGCAGACAAGAAATCTACAGCATTTGCAAGCCTATACTCCCAATGAAAAAATGCACAATTAAATGCATTAATGTTTTCATGTGAGGTGTATCTACTTAACATGTTCTTCTTGGTATTTTTAAATTCTCCAGTTTGTGGAATTAATAAAAGTTTGATAACGCTAGCATTGATAAAGGGCAATCGCTCGAAATGTTTGCAACTTAGATTTTGTCCTTCCAATAAATATGGTATTTAAATACCAGTTGCGCATTACTCCATTTTTTTTTCTTGTTTGGATATACACTGGAGGAACTACAGTGGGAGTTTTTATGCTGCACAGTTATACTGTTGTTACTGCTTATTGAATCAGTGCAGGCAGACCTCTTAGTGCATAGTGACCTCCTTTCATCTATTTCTGGCATGTATTGCTACCAACAGATATGTGAATGGACATGCCAAGAAGCATTACGAGGATTCCCAATCTCAGACCGCTAGTCACAAACGGCAGGAAAAGCCAGAACCAGAGAGAACACAACACACTGTATGTATGGACTGCAGCAGCTACAGCACATATTGGTGAGTAGTTGTAGTGTTTCCATCTCTTGATTGTTGATGCTTCTGTTGGTCCCATCCCAGTTTAGAAAATACAAGCCCTATAGTGTGGGATCCTGCAGCTATATCTGAGGAATGTATATGTGAGATCTAAATATCCCCTTTCTATCTCTGTTGTGCAGTTATCGATGTGATGACTTTGTAGTAAACGATACGAAGCTGTGTTTGGTCCAGAAGGTCCGAGAGCATTTGCAGAACTTGGAAAAGTAAGTATTGCAGGAACGCGTGCAGTTTGTCTGTTCTTGATTTTTATAAAGTTGGTTCTAAATTAATTATAATCAAACTCGTATTTAATTAGGAGCAAAACACAAATGTGCGACCCAAACACGTTTTGGTCTCTTCTTTTCCTTCTTTTTTTCTATTTTTTTTTTTTGTTTTGTTTTTTAAATTCCATTTCACCAATGCTCTGAGTGTTTTCTGTGCAAAGTTTAAGTTGGCAAAAACAGGTACTCACTTAACCATCACATAGTTTGCAAAGTGCAGTGAATAAAGAATATTAGAATGTGTTTGTGTTTTATCAGTATATTGAGTCCAGTTTTTAAGAATTATTCATTTTTATTTATTTATTTATTTATTTTTTCATTTAAAGCAATACTTTATAAACAGAAATATACAGAAATATTTATATTTTTTCATTAGTACCTGTAGGTTGCCTGCTGGCTGGTTATTGTATCCATCTCTCTCTCGGTAGCTCAGCTTTCACAGTGGAAAGGCACCGGAAAAGAAAATTCTTGGAAAACTCTGCACATAATAAGAAACTGCTTAAAGTAAATGTAAGTATCAATTTACTAAATCCCACCATCTGATAGTTCAAACGTATTAATAATAAGCTATATTGTCAGGCTAGCCAACTTGCATGGTTTCCTGTAAGCTAAAGGGTTTGTGGAAAAGCTTTGTGCATTTTATATAAGATGGACTTTGTCATTGATCCTTGAATAAAGTTTAGGTATTAACTGCTCCACTTTTTTTTTTTGAGTACAGCAGTAGAGGAATACAGAGTACGGCAGAATTTCTGCTGAATTAGCCATCTAATTAGGTTATACCCCACAACTACCTTTTTACGTTAAGGCATTTTCAGCTTTCTGTAAAGGCACCCTAACCATAAATGTAGCAGCAGACTCATAAACTCAATTAAAGGGCTTTTTTTTTTTTTTCTTGCTCTCTCTTGCTAAAGAAGCCAGTAGCAACAGTATAATTAACAAATACCAAGATTTGTAACTTATTTGGGGCTCCAGTGGGTATTATAGGCACTCTGCCCAGCTTTTGTAGGGATTGCATTGTGAAATTGTTAAAACATTCTTCCAACATATGGGAGATCTCTTTTCTATCTGATGCCCAGTTAGTTCACCAAACCTTGGTAACATTTAAATATGAAGTCCCAACAACAATGCTTTAAAATATTTCTTTGTATCGTTCCTGGCATCTGTCCTAGGATTGATTTGACACAACTGCGTCTTTATCAAGTCTTGATAAATACTTTCAGGATTATTTACTAAAGTGAAACTTGTTGGGAATTAAAATTTTAAATTTAAGGCTATTGGATGACTCCAGACAGCAAAGCAGACTTCCCCACACTGTAATACTACAGTATCTGGGTCGGCTCCTGTATCACCACTTGTTCACAACATGCATATTCAAATATGTGTTCCAGACAGTTAAACAACCACTCTGAGCAAGTACTGAATTGATCCTTCCTGTTATTATCCCTTTATACACTCTCATCAGTTATGTTCTCCTTAATATAATCTCATAGCACACAGTGCTCATGATCAATCTATGTCCTTTTCACCTAAGCAATGTTAGCACTGTAAGCCTGAATAGCAATGCTTTCATCTTTAGACTCAATCTTATGTTATCTCATTTTATGTTGCTCTCTTTATTATTGATGCCTTCTCAGTTTAACACCTGTTTATTAATAATATAAAACTGTGCAGACTATCTATTTGCCACTGTTTTTGTGTTCCATTTTTATAGGGCAGCACCACAGCTCTGTGTGCTACTGGCCTCCGCAATCTGGGGAATACCTGCTTCATGAATGCAATTCTTCAGTCACTCAGGTAGAGATATTTGGGATAGATAGAGCTAAGCATATTGATATAGACTGTTTGCTTTGTTATTGGAATTTCTGCACAGTTTGGAGATTTGTCTACTCTATTTTAAACAGTTGGTTTTTCTCTAGTTAATATATACCAACATGAGCATCTGATTCCAAATATGTGCCACATTCTGATGACATATCCGTAGCATTATGACGAACATGTACCTGGTAGAGTTCCCCCGTCAACATACTCTTTCTAATAACCTGCTCAATCTACCCAGTATAAATCGGCATCTCTAATGATGTTTTTCTCTTGCAGCAACATCGAGCAGTTCTGCTGCTACTTCAAGGAATTGCCGGCAGTGGAACTTCGGAATGGTAAAACCGCCGGACGTCGGATCTATCACACGCGTAGTCAAGGGGAAGTTAACGTGTGAGTAATTCACTTTCTTGAAGTTTCAGGTTATTTAAATCATTTTAATTTTTTTTGCCATAGACATTTATTTTATTTTTTTAATCGTTCAATTTTAATTTTTTTTTTTTTTTTTGTCTTTCTAACATAAAATTTAAATAGATCCATTTGGACTTATTATCTATGCCTTGCTTGCAAATTGTACAAGAAAAAGGTGCTCTGTGCAATTAGGCGCTTAACAATAATATATAAATAGAACAGCAGCTCAAACACGCATGCAGGTATCCCAATCCTACACAAACACAATGTGAAAGAAAAAAAGTGAACTTAGTGGATCGTACTACCACCAAAAGATCACTCAGTGGAGCGCTAAATATCAAATTCTTACCCCTATTGGAATAACGTATATATCACTTTAAGGGGCAGACAGCATAATAAAATCTACAACAAGAAAATACACATCATGGTGCAGTATACTTGTAAGGTGTGAATGGAGTGGAAGAAGATGTATGTCCAACTCACATGGTAAAGAGCCTGGAGATTGGCTCAAATCACAACAGCTGAGGTATGTTTGGTAATACCAGACCTTCTCCAGATATACAGCTCACAACATATGTGGATAAAAAAGGACAAAAATCCTAGTGCAAGTATGTTTAAAATAAACAAGTGGTCACATATAACAGTGCATGAATGTGCTCACCTGGAATAGAGCCAATTGTACTAGGCTCTATGTCCTTTTTGTCCTTTTTTATCCACATATGTTGTGAGCTGTATATCTGGAGAAGGTCTGGTATTACCAAACATACCTCAGCTGTTGTGATTTGAGCCAATCTCCAGGCTCTTTACCATGTGAGTTGGACATACATCTTCTTCCACTCCATTCACACCTTACAAGCATACTGCACCATGATGTGCATTTTCTTGTTGTAGATTTTATTATGCTGTCTGCCCCTTAAAGTGATATATACGTTATTCCAATAGGGGTAAGAATTTGATATTTAGCGCTCCACTGAGTGATCTTTTGGTGGTAGTACGATCCACTAAGTTCACTTTTTTCTTTCACATCTTGCTTGCAAATTACCTAACGTATTATTAAAAAGAAAATATCTTAATGAAGCTGGGATTTTTTTTTAATGAGCAACAAAACTGTTTGAGAATCTGCTCATCCACCTACAGACAAGCTGTTACTGTTTGGTATTAACAGCTTGCTCTTATCCGATATTGAAAAATTCTCCTCTTGGTGGGGTACAGTTTGGATTGACAGTGTATTTATATCTGTGTTTTGGCCTGCTTCATAAAAAGTTCTACATTGAGTGCTGGGAAGCTGTTAATTAACTTGGAAATAGGCCGGTATTGCATACAACTGAGTGACCACATGACTATTCGCTAAAGAATTCAAATTTAAGGTCCAAAAATCGCCAAACTGGAAAAATTATCTGAGCTATGCTTCCAGCATATTTTAAATATAGTCATTGCTATAAACCCTTTACTAGAATGGCAGTAAAAAAAAAAAAAAGGTATTTATTAAATTATGGTATGGCTCACCAACATGGAGATATGCTTCATCTTGTGCTCTCTGTGAGGACGGTACTAATTCGGTAATGTAAGATCCAGAAACCAGTACTAGGTGGACTTCTGAGCTATTTTAAATACCAGGAGCCTTGAAACTACATATAGTATCGTAATTCTGAATTAAGTACTGTTACCTACAATGGATATCCAGTGATAGGCTAAGAAGGTCAGCTGACTCTCTCTGCCAACCTGTCACCAGTGCCCACGCAAACCTTTCAGATCAGTGCTGAGGACAGAAGTGGCAGTGCAGGTCGGTGTCTGGGGGCAAAATGGTATAATTAAACTGTTCAAAAATGGTTTAACCCAATATATTAAGAAGGTGCCCAGGGACTAAACCCCTCGTTAAGGCTTTATTGTGATAATGTTATGGGGCCTGTAGCCTGGCTAGAGAGTTGGCTTGTCACTGACCAATCCCCCAGCCCATTCCCTACCCTAAAATCTCATATGAATGAAAAATGGATTAATGATAAAAATGAATGCCTCCAGTTGACTAAATTAATGCCCTTGATTACAGGGTTGTGAAACCCATTGCTGTATTTCAGGCTCAGAAAGGAATTTTTGCTTATGAATCAATATTTTTTTTTTTTTTTGCCTTCCTCTATATCATTGGGCTTAGGCATAAACATGTAAAATAAAGTTAAATTAAAAGAAAGTAAACTGATAAAAGACCTTCAAACCAATATTCCAAGAAATGTTATAGTTGAAAAGGTATTTCCATTTTAAACCAACCCGTCCATTCCTAGTGGCAAGTAATAGAATTTCCAAACTATGAGTCTTTACATACTGTCTAATCTCATAAAGAAGCAAAATAATGAATTGGACACAAATGCAACTTAGAAAAAGAATGTCAACTTAGAAAAAATATAATAAGTTATTTCTAAGATCACCGGTACAGCACTCTTGTGTTTTTGTTTTTTTTATGTTTTGATTATAGCATCACATACAGCATTGGGCTGTAAGAAACAGAATACAATGGTGGCATTATTTTCTATACCAATTCTATCTTGTGTTTTTATGGAGCAAAAGCAATCCACTTTGCACAGAAGTTTCAGAGCCCTCAAACTGGGATGTTTGGAGTGATTTAAAGTTTAGGGACATCCCTCCCCTCCCTTCTTACTTAATAGATACTCTAATTATTGTGGGGATATTTATGGGATAATAATAGTAAACAGTTGAGAATTGCCCACTAATTCAATTCCCAGATCCCAAAGAACGTTTATCGTGTTAAGTGGAAAGTATTTCATATAAATAATCACAATGTATAAAAATAGATTTTTATTTATATGACAAATTAATAATAATAATATTATATGTAACATGCATAACAATAATCAATGAATATTCAGTATAAAACGATATGCAATACAAAGAAATGGGTATTACGTTTCAATGGCTAAACGGCATTTTCTGTCAAGACTTCTACGATTTATGACTAGCTTTCACAGACTGAAAGTGAAACTTTTCACAGGGAAGAACAGAATTCCTCAGAGTGCAGCGTAAGGTCGTAAAGTTTAGCAGACAGTTAGAATAACCCTTTCAATGCTGGCTAGATCTCCTAGGTAGTTAAGATCTATTCTTATGTAATTTTTTAATAAAATAACATTTAAACCAGTTCACTAGTCATTTTCTTAAACCATCCAATAAGAGAGTCTAACATTATATAAGCAGATTTTTAATTTGTCTAAAAGATATCTATCTTAATTTAGAGCAAATCAATACACCTGGATAACAACAGCGGTATGCTAACACGTGATAATATCACATCAATATATAATTATTCTTAATTCCACCTGCAGAATGGAATGTTTATAACTATATATTCTTAGTTAACTAAGATTTCTTAATATGGAAATCTGACCGTGCTTTATCCAGTCATATATAATGCTATTAATACATTTTAATTAATTTAATTTAATTAAATGAAACCAGTATAATTACCAGTTGAGTAGATATTTCATCCGATTGGTAGTCTCTCTGCATGGAGGTGTTGGTTAGAAAGTCAGTAAATTCTAAGTGTTAGAGTTTTAGGAGTAGAGTGTTAGTCTCAGATGTTGTCCGAGTTGGAGTCCCCAAACTTCCAATTCCTCTCTCCTCTCCTTTGCATATCTTGCATCTGCCTCCTCTCTCGTATATCTCTATCTTCCCTTTGTCTTAACTTTTAAAGGGCCAGACTCTCTGTACGTCATCAGTTGATAACCCAATAGAAGCACTAGAGGTGTGGTTATCTTCCAGATCGCAAATTAGGTATTTGGTCTGTAGAGGGCAGTCTTGTCCCACTAAACATACCTATCCAGGAAAGAGTTAACTTTTCCTGGTGGCTATTTTGACGTCATTTTGCTTATCTCAAATGACCACTATAACTTACGTATCCTTCAAAGATCAAAGGGTTTCTTAAATTTTGTCCAGACTATGTGTCTGCAAATCTGAGTTTTTTTCTGATATGGCAGATCATGAACTAAGTTTACCCTTTTCCATACAATGGTACCTTATATATATATAGACCGTTAAATATTAAATTATTTAATCTTCTCTGTCACAATTGTCTGGGTTTAGATTTGATTATATTCTTCTTATCACTTGTTTATACTATGCATTCCTTAGCTCTGGCAAAGAGGCCAGTCTTACAGAAAGAAATCCTGTGTCTCTTTGTCTTTGTTAACTTGGAATAACAAAATGGAGTCTGGTCTGTTCAGAGTGACTCAGAATATACACTTTTAGTTTCTATCTTAGCACAAAATGTCTGCCGATATAAATACTCTGACATTATACTAACCACTACAGCACTCAGAAGTGGTTGTGTTGCTACGAGTCCCCTGGTACTGTCTCACAGTCTGCTGTCGTTAACAAATGGATTTCCATTTACCTGTTTTTGTTGGGAGCCTGCAGTTCGCCAAGTCTGTAATGATATGTTAAAGCAGAAATTCTTCAATGCAGACTGGGATGCTCCCTTGTGCCAAGCGCAGCCAGGTGGGTGTCAAACCATTCACAAAGGGGCTTACAGTGCCCCTTTCACTGGCATCTTCCCAAAACATAGAATGTAAGATGAGGAATGTTTAAATCCCTGGCGAGCCTTATTTTCTCTGCTGAGAATTCTTGTTAAAAGTAAGGGAATTTAGTACTTGTAACCACTTATTTAGCGTGACAGTGATGTTTGGCATGTTGAAAAAATAGTAAGTACTACAGCTGTAAAGTAATGTAACATGAAATCCCTAGATAAAGAGAGAAACATCAAGGACAGTTGAGAGCTGGAGTTAAACCTTCTTGTGGATTAAATAAAGGCAGAAGGATGTCCTCTGCAAAGACCTGCCTTCCTTGGTAGGGGAGTATAAAATATTGTTTTAATAAATCTATTTTCTGGTGATTGCTTTAGCAGGATGTATATTGTTAACTAATAAACCCATAAAACACACCTTGACTTCTACATCTTGTGGATAATCTATTCACTCACACTGCTTCGAAATATGAAAATCTAGTCTGGCTACACGGTCTCCCCTGATTTATTGGAAGAGAGAAGTAGTGCAGGTAACTGTATCTTTTGCCAGTACAGGGAATTGAGATTAAAAAAAACTAAAAGCATCTACTGAAAAATACTGAAAAGAAAACTAAATTCTCAAATTTGGCGATTAAATCCTAGTGTCTATATTTATTTTTTAAATGTTGGTGTTGTAGCTATATTTTCTGTTCCTAAAGCTCACTGATAACAAAGTTATTTTTCAGTGGTCCTTTATCTGATATTTGGACAGTTTACAATTAAAACTCATTGCAAATACACAACCTCTTCTTCTTCCCAATTGGTTGTTTTGTGTCTTTGAAATTTTTCCAACATTTTCATTCTTTTTTGAAAAGCAGTTAGAAATATTTTAATAAGTAACTGAATGAGCAATCAGGAACAAGATGTGAATGCTGGTAAGTGTTGTAGATTCAGACTGAGTGACATGTTATGTTTTTTTTAGTGTGGTACACTGAATATCTGCATGTTTGTTTTGTTTTTCTTTTTGTAGGTCTTTGGTTGAAGAGTTCAGGAAGACATTATGTGCATTGTGGCAAGGCAGCCAGACAGCATTCAGTCCAGAATCCTTATTTTATGTGGTATGGAAGATCATGCCAAACTTTAGGTAATTGGATTGATAGCTCTTCAAAATTGGATAGATTACATGCATTTTTATTATACGTTGAATATAGTCTTGTTTTCATTTACATATTGTGATATCATCTAAACAAAAGTACTGTCCTAAATGTATGTAATGTAGTGCTCCTGTGGTACAGCATCTTTCCTTGGCACAAAGTAAATTTAAACCACTTTTATGAAATGAGAGAGAGAGAGAGATTGTTATAACCCTGATTTGATTTCACTCCTTCCCTTGCATTACTTGTACTATAGAATCCTTGACAACTCTGTTCATTTCCTGTTTCTGGAGCACTTTGTCACCCCTAATGATATATATATTTTTTTTATGTATTTTGATGACAAAGGCATGTAGGTTTTTTTTTTTTTTTTCTGGGCTACATGCCTTCAATAATGAATATAAACAAACAGAAATGTACTGTGGATGTTATGGTGGAATTTCCCTTGTAAAGGGCAGTGTTTAGAGTATGTTCAGTCTAGATTTTGTTAGATCGGGTATTCTAAGTTGCATGGGAACGCCATTAAAAGCCACAATGTTTACTGTACAAATAGTTATAAAGAACAATGTGACGTTAAATGAAAGTGGTTTTTGTTTTTTGTATTTAATTTTTTCTTCATCTAGCAAATATGTATATCTCCTATGTGATATATATTTTTTTTAATATACATTTTATTTTTGTGCCTAGTGTGATGTACTGTATCTCTATAAAGCTTTTCTAGGAAAAATAAATAAACAAGAAAAACATGAAAATTAACTTCATGATCACATTATTCAAGTCCGTTGATGCTGGGTTGATCCCAAAAGCAAAGTGTTGTGCACATATTGGATGTTTACTGAAATACACCAAAGCCAGTGGTTCTCTTCTTAAAGTAGAGTTTGCATGAGTAGGCTGGCTGGTAGGCCATTTCATATACTATTTTGTTTCTAAGAGCTAACCTGTATCTTTTTCAGGGGTTATCAGCAGCAAGATGCCCATGAGTTCATGCGCTATCTCTTGGACCATCTCCATTTAGAACTGCAAGGGGAGCTTGATGGCTCTTCCCAAGCAATCAAGTCACCGGCAAACACCAGTCAGTCAACAAGCAGCAAGTGTTGTATGTGAGTAACCAAGGGTATTAATACATTTATCTTAGTCATAAGCTCCCTTCAATTTATTTTATTAGTGACAACGTTGTAACTCCATACTTTTTTATCCTAGAAATGGTGCAACAACAGTGGTGACGTCTGTGTTTGGTGGTGTTCTTCAGAATGAAGTAAACTGCCTAATATGTGGAACAGAATCCAGAAAATTTGATCCATTCCTAGGTATGGTTCCTTTCTCACGTACTGTAGTATATCTGTAACATCTCTGTGTTAATTAAAAGCACACTCCACACACACAAAGCAATACAGCTCGGAGTCTGTCCTCTTGGCAGTTTAAAAAAAGTGCTAATTTCAATAGAAAAACTAATACTTTAGTAACTTTTTGTAGTTTGAGGCTTTCCTCTTGCATTGGCTGCACAGAGCTTACAGAAGCGGCAAGTGCACTGTGTTATTGTGTGCCTGCCTACCGCCAAACTACACACATGCTTCTCAATGAGACGCCTATGATCGGAGCATTCCTTGGAACAGAATGAAAGTGTATGGTGGAGGAAAAAAAAAAAGAATGACTTGCAAAGAAAATGTGCAGGAAAAAATTACATGCATGTGTTCTTTGCGAATATATCTGAAACACTGTAAAAAAATAAAATAAGAAAAACATGTTCAATGGAGTGTCCCTTAAACTTTCTAACAAGATCTAGCTGCTAAGTCAGATATCGAGCACTCGTTTCAATGGAAAATGAGTCTGTCTCCATTTTCCACTATCTTCTAATAAAGCAAATTTAGTCAAATGTGGCTTATGCAAATATTTCATTTTTAGCTTGATTGGGTAATAGTTTTATAGACTTAATGTTTGCACTAGCAACTAATAAAAACCATTCAAGGAAATTCCAGTCTCGCATTTGATATTTATCGTCTTGTTAAACGGTTGGTGAGCAGTTAGCTAAATGTGCTCAGTCACAATCTCACTGTTTAAATACATTAAAACACCACATTTACCCATATCGGACCAGGTGTACAGGACTTTATACTCTATGGGAAACACTCAAGTTTTGCCAATCACAGTCCTGTTGAAGAAGCGCTAACAACACTTCATGGTAAATGCATTGCGTTCTAAAGGACCTGAAAACACTCTTCCAAAAAATAAACTAAACTGTGTGGTGTTTGTTCTGCTGACGCTTCCATTAACGTCAAGTTAGTGGAGGTGTTTTTGTTGGCACACAATCCTACAGTGTTATCTAATGATGTCTCAATCGTTATGCCTACTGAAGAACAAATACTCTTTGCAATTTAAATATAGTATATACTACGCACTGTGGACTAAATAGTGCAGGGCTTAGTGCCAGGTGGATAATGCTAGAACTATACTGGGCTCCACCTATGACTAGTACAAATACCAAGAATCAATAGGAGATTGAATTCTAAACACTCTAGAACAATCCAACCTAATGCACAAAATGGCAGCCCAATATCAAAATGTGTATTTATAGTAAGTATTTCCAAGGGTGAATGGGCTCATAACTACAAATCCTGTCGATAAAGGAAATGGGCTAACTGTATAAAGCTATTGTATAATGTCTCAAACCGGCATTATTGTTCATTTTGTTTATTGGCAACATATTGGTTGGTGTGTTAGACACTATTTTCACAGTTTATTTTTAGTTCTATGGACTTATAACTTGTTTTTTTTTTGTTTGTTTGTTTTTTTTTTTCTTATACTTGGTCCAGTTGTTTCCTACTTCTTACAGAGGATCTCTTTTTAGAAAGTTAAGCTGGGTAATGTAGGTTCTTGTGTTGAGAAGTTAGGTCTTAGTCAGTATATAGTACGCAGTCTGTTTCTTGTTCTATCTGCGAATAATGAAAGTTGTTGCAGAGGTAATCGTTTAATATTGATGATCTCAGCCAGTCCAATGTTATCCTATAGGAAGGCTTTGGAAAGCTATTGCGCATGTGCGGTAAATGCTGCACTGTGCCAATCAGCATCTCCTCATAGAGATTCATTGAATGGATGCATCTCTGTCCACAGCGTTCAGCGTTTCCATGCAGAGATAGGAAGAGTCTTTAGTGACCGTCTGAGTGACAACCACTAGAGGTGTTACTAGGCAGGCATGTAAGCTTTTTTTTCTGAAAAAGCAGTGTTTACAAAAACCGGCTATAGACACAAGAACTGCAACACTAAGCTGTAGTGGTTCTGATGAATATAGTGTTCCTTTAAGACACTGTATGTAGGGATTTATACTTTACCTAGGTTAAACATTCTACGCCATTTGAACAATCAGGCTTTTGAGTCAATGGTGGACTACACATATATTCTGACAATATACTCTTGTGAACTGCCCACAGTGGCCAGAAAGCTAATAAATGCAGAAGTGGGACTTCACCGGAGACCTTTTCAATGTTCACTTCTTTTAAAACTCAAAACCCTACTGACAGAGACAATTAGTTACTCTGAACCTGAGGGAGTGGATATTGTGTACATACTTTGTTTAAATTTTGTATTGAACCTCATTGTGTCTTCACTAGGCTTGATCGTATTTGTTCCTTTCAAGAATTGGCAGACTTTACTAGTGCTCCTTCAGGAAGTAACTTGAGACATTTTAGACCAAATGTTTGTCTATTGTCTACTAAATACAAATATACGCAAATCCCTCTGACATAATAAGTAACCCCTTTCTTAAAATATTGCTGTGACGTGTATGATCCTGATCTCTTCTTTCTTTTAAAAGATCTCTCTTTAGATATTCCAAGTCAATTCCGTAACAAGCGTTGTAAGAACCAAGATAATGGACCAATCTGCACACTCCGAGGTATGAATTGAACCGTTCCCTGGCTTAAATTTTGTTTTGTAAAGATTGTAGTTTAAGGAAAAAGCCCAAGTGCAGTTATGGAAGAAAATGTGTGACGGAGACTCATAACCGTAATATTTTAAATTTTTATCCTGATCACTGCTTTAAAACAGCCTTTTTTCTAAGCAAAGGCCATGGCAGCGCTATGTGAATAAGTGCTGCCATGGCCTGTTACCGGGAAGAGCCACTACAGACATAGTAGTCCATCTGTGCATGTACAGTAGCCGTGGGAGTGGGAAAAAGCAGTAAGTAGGGAAGAGCTAAATTAGAAAGGTGGGGGAAGACAAGCAGACGAGGGAGTGAAAAGGGGGGGAAGGAGAAGGGAAAGATCTCTGCTCACCAACTGAGTCCTCAGAGGACATGGCTGTTTTTCCAGCCATACCTATGGCAGCACTTAGTACTGCCATGGTCTATTGCTGGTGGGAAAGTAATATATTGACTAGTGTGGAATCCTTTTCCGTTTTATTTTGCACCACATGAAGAAAAGGAGTATATTAACCTCCCTTCCTTATCATGCAATATGTCCTACTGCAAGGCCTTCTTCTTTGTTGCTGCTCTCTTGATAATAAAAAGGAAGTAGCTAAACAATTGTCAGAAAATTGTCCTCCAATATATGTGTATGGGGCTAGCACCAAGCATTTATGTCAGTGCTGTCCCAGCCTGCGCAAAAGGTGCTCGTAACATTACCTGCATACTTCTCATATGTGTAGCATATATTTCAATGCGAACTATATGAAGTTATTGCAAGCACTTGTGTAAATGCTTTCGCATGTAATTGCTCCCAGTGGTATCTGGGAATTTCTATATTACTTAAGTAGTTAATTTTACTGGTTTGAAACCAAAATTGCAGCTAGACTCCACTCTACCTATCCGTATACTCCAAGATGTCTGACATTGCCTCTGTTCTCTATTTAGTTACTTAATTAAAAGAAACCTTCATAACAAAAAGCATTCTATCTTATTGAAGCAATTTTTTTGTGAAGAGTGTGACGATATTTTCATTGGGGGATATAGCTACTCGACAATGATTATTTATTAGTATTTACATGTGTATTTCGGCAGTGGAGTGTCTCTTTCCTTGAAATGTACTCGCTTCCGCCAAAGACTCTATAACTGGTTAAAAAACAAACAAAAAACCTGTCACTTCTCCATCAAAAGATAATAGAATAGACAACTATACACCTGATCTCCAAATTCAGATTGTACCTTGGGAAATGTGATCTCACATTATTATTATTATTATTATTATTATGCTTTCTCTTGAAAGCACCCAGCCATTCTGGTTACCATGGAAATGGAGAACTCTGAAAACCCACTTCACATAGTTCCACCTCACACCTATTGCTGGGTGTCCTGGGTTTCCTTCAGCCTTCACTCCCAATCTTATGCGATGTTATACTGCACATAGAATCCTGGAAATTCTGAAAGATAGACCCTTACTTACTCCATCCACTCTCGAAGTACCTTAACCACATTTCTTACTTCACCAGTTTCAATAGCATCTACTTTCACAAGGGAGCTCCTTTTTGAAGAATGTAGCTGTTTTCCTTCCTCCCCCTCAAACCTCTCATACATAGCATATAGTTTACATTCAATAGAGGATTCCAATTGCCTTTTTTTTTCCCCCAAGATTTGTTAAAGTGACCTTAGGGGCACCAATGCAATGTTGAATTAATATGCTGTATTTTTGCATGCTCAAATCTTTAGTTTTTGCACAAAAAATAAACGTTTAGCAGAATGGTGCACCATAAATCTGCCTCCTTAACTACACCCCTCATGCCAGAAAGACTTTCTTCTCAAATGCGTGCACGCAAGTCAGCCACTGACCTCACAGAGTGAGCTGCTTTTAATTAATAACCCAGCTCCTGACTGTCCGTGAAGCAACAAACAAGCAGTGATTTCCTTAACTACATGTCTCCAAGAGATCGGTTTTAAAATCCCCGCTGTAAAACTCGCCAACAAGATTCTGGAATTGCGTACATTGGATACACATTTGGTGGTTTTGCTCGTAGTTACAATTTCAGCAATTGCCTTTTTTATCAAGCATGTACACAAGAAGCCAATACCCTACCAACCTTTCTTTCACATCACTCTTAAACTGTGCTCTCCACCTATAGGAAGTCTCATACCCCATTAATACAAGAAGTCTTGTATAACTTTCTGATGTACATGGATGCCCCCAGTTGAATCCAGTGACATACCCAACCAATGCAACAAGGGCACATCAACTTTATGAACTGAGAACCTACACTCCCATTTACATTATAAGATGATCCTCCATAGATTTCACTATACCTTGTCAATAGCCACCAAAGAAAAAACAAAATTGCCCTCCATTTTTCTTCCTGTTCTGACACCGTGCTGCACAATGTGAAGAACCTCACCTTAATCTTCCATGTTTCTGCTCACTTACAATCAACCCAATTTCTTTCAGTTCAATTCAATCTCCCTCCACCCCTGCTTACTGAGCGTTTCCTATATTTAAATACCTACCACTCTGAGTTGCCGTAAACCAAGAATGTATATATTAAAATAAAAAGGTCTTACTTTTGTTCATGTCATAAGCTAGCTCATGGTTAATAGTCTCCTTGTTGTAGAGAACTTTTAACCCAGCAGCAGAAAGGAATTCTTAATATACTCTGATGATCCTTTTTTAACGAATGCTGGTATTCCATTCCCTGTTCGTTTGGTTCCTCCCGAACTACTAGGTATTGAGTGATTATAGCTCGCAGTTAGGTCACTGATTCGTACATTCACAGGAATCAAAGTACAGCATACAAGTAAATTTAGCAGTTCTGCAATCCCTTTCCCAAACATCAGTCGAGACTAGATGAAGGATACAACTCTGACAATCTTTATTGGTACACACAGCTTTTATGCATAGCCCCATGGAAGAGGTTATCATATCCCAGGATCCTCCCCACCTGGGAGCCAAAGGCGGGAAAAGAGGTCGCTGTCCCTTTGTCTCCCAAGTAGGGAAAGCCCTCCCCCCAGACGAGGGGTTTCTCTCACAAAACAGGGGGCTTCTTAATCCCAGGAGCCTCTGTGCCTTGGAGCCAAAGCGCAGGAAAAGTGGTTGACCCTTGGTCTCCCAGGCACAGAAAAGCACACCAAACTAGCCAGTCTCAACAGAAGTGACCCCACCGCGGCATGTACCCCGACCCGATCTTGTTCGCCAGCTCAGGGGCTGAAACCTGCAAGGGAAGCGGCTCCTTTCATAAGACTTGCTTTTCCCACGGAAATCTCACTTTAAGAGTGCTCTCAGTACTGCAAGGGATTCCACGAATGCTTCCTCTGGTTGGCGTTCGTTTATACGAAATGGCGGCCACCCAGGGGAGCCCTCATTAATTACTTCCCTTGAGGTTTCACACTATGTTGCAGTTTCGCACTTATGTTACAAGTGCGAACGTTATGATTAATTGGTGGGAACGTTCTAATGGGGCACTGGGGTGGTCCCCGTTCGGGAGACTAATGGGGTTCCGTTTGTATGAACGCTTCCGAACGGAAAAACACATGAACAGAGTCTTTTCACATGCTTTTTACAGTACCCATATGTAGGCATGGCACTCAGTGAAGGCGTTTCGTCACACCTTTAGTGTCTTTAAAGTTTGAGTCCTCCATTGAAGTAGTGGAGCTGGAACAAAATGATGATTAGGCAAAACAGGCAAGGGTTTTAATGCTATTCATTTCATAGAGTAACCTCACTAATTGGTTTATGGGTTTGCAGCGTACCTGTGGCGGCCTACTCGCAGTGGAGGACCAGAGTGTCGCCGCCAAGGACTCCTTTTTCCCCTTAGTTATCTGCTCCCAAATGAAAATAGCCCACTCCTAGTCATTAGCCGAGGGTTATGTAAATGTCACATTTTGATACCTGGGTCTCTGCGATCTGATTTTGGAGTTCCATGAGACTGTTGGTTGCTCCCAGTCAGACGCCTCTGCAAATCCCCCTTCTAGCCACTGATGTCTCTGGGACTGCTTGATATAGTGCTCGAGGGGGGAAAATGTGGGAGATTATAGTTCTTTTTGGGTGAGGTGGTGGTTGGGAGCCATGTACAAGTCCTAAGTGACCAGGTGGTCTGTCACAGTACTTAATCTATCACCCAAAATAAACAAACTGCAGAGGATTTGTACATTCCCACAGCCGAACCAGGGATTTGTCTAGCTAGATTTTTACTGTCCACTTTGTGATTGGCTTTTTAAATTTTGTGTGTGTGTGTGTGTGTGTGTGTGTGTGTGTGGTGTTTCAGGGAATGTAATTTGTTGTGGGCATATGTGTTTGAAATTGCATACGGGGTAGGGGGGAAACAACACTTTTGTCTTTGTTCTATGTGCTAATGTAGTATGATTTTGTTCTTATTTTATAAAACTTTCAGACTGCTATGAGCCAGAATTACTTAATGAATTTCTCTCTTTCAGACTGTCTCCGCAGCTTCACAGACCTGGAAGAGTTGGACGAGACAGAGCTCTATATGTGCCTGAAGTGCAAAAAGAAACAGAAATCCACCAAAAAATTCTGGATCCAGAAATTACCAAAGGTAGTTTGGGCCAATAACATACGCACACAGAAATATAAAGTCACTTCAGCTCAGAACAAACTGGTCTGGTCTGCCCTACGAAACCTAAGAGAGCTTTGTGCACATTCCAAGCATTCTTGAATACCTTTACTGTTTGCACTGAAATGCTACTCTCTGTATATCAAGTAGAAAAGTATCATTCATATTAACATATTCCTATCTGATTACAGGTGCTCTGCTTACATTTAAAGAGGTTCCATTGGACTGCTTACTTAAGGAATAAGGTGGACACCTATGTAGAGTTTCCTTTGCGTGGCTTGGACATGAAGTGCTTTTTGTTGGAGGTAACAAACACACTGTTTTGATCTATATCATTCGTCTTAAATCCTTCCGTCTCTTCAGACATTTTAGGCCACCATGTATACTGCTGGTCAACAAGCATAAAACATGTTTAGATTCTTCTGTGTATTTCATCCATTCATGATCTGTGTTAGTACACAGAGTACACAAATGAGTTTGGGAACATTTAGACTCTTAAACCTGGAATCTTTGTAATTGTTATTAATAATAATCTTTAGAATTCTCCACCTCCTCATGCACACTGGTTGGGAAGTCGAAATCCAATACAATCGATATTTAAGAGACTCCAAAATATCTCAACACCCTTTGCTGCTGGACTACTGCCTTTTTTTTTTTTTTTTATGTTTCAGCAAACTTGTTTTTTGGTTATTTGGTAACTACCCACAATACAAAAAAAAAATATTTTAATAAAATGCATATTAGTGTGTAGTGGTGTGGTGTTTGTTTGTTTTTTTTTGTTTTTTTATACCAAAGTTTTTAGTTTGTTTAAAAAATGAAACCATTTTGAGCGTTTAGCATGAACTTAAATGCTTCTGGCTGTCCAAAGTCTGACCCTCAGTGGAGGAGGGAATTGGCAGAGAGACGACACACTTCCTTCCAGCCATACCCACTCATAACTACAATGTGTACTTTGATAGGCTGAAAGCTGCTGCAGACTCTCATTTAACATTAAAATATAAAAAACAGCCTAATGCTGAATGGACATGACTCCAGATACTATAACCACTTCAATTTGATAAATACGACATGGCGCCTGCAGTGTCCTTTTTTTAACTGTAACCTGACAACAATATACAGTTTGTGTTTGTTATGGCTGGGAATCGCCATCACGATGCCAATAGATATATCTTTTTTTTTTTTTTTTATCTAGATAAAAGTATTTGTGCTAGCAGAAAACAATATATGTGTACACAAACCACAGTGCAATAAGTGCTCAATAGACTGTAAGCAGAAAAAAACTTCCCTGAACAGGGTAGAAATTCCCCGAAGACTTTCTCTTGTCTTCAATAGAATGTATACAAATAGGTAGGGGATAATCTGCTAAATCAATAATGAGAACAGAACATAGCGTATAACTGTGTGTAAGAATAAACCATTAGTGTAACATTCACAAATGGCCACTCACACTTTCACTGGAGTTGGAAAGCCTTTAGAATAAATATTCAATGTCTCATGAATTGGCTGAGATGTGTGTGTGTGCTCAAGAAAACCCTGTAACCCTGGTGGTGACAGAGAGATTACATCTATTGTTTTATATCTTGCTGTAAGTTATAAAATGTATTTTCACTATACTTTTATGTGCACTACAACTTGATTGCATTTTTTTTCTTGAGCACACCCATTTCAGCCAATTCATGAGACATTGAATATAGATGGAAGAAATGATTCTGAAAAGGCATTTATGCTGAAAAAGGAATTTATTCTAAAGGCTTTCTAACTCCAGTGAAAGTGTGAGTGGCCATTTGTGAATTTGACACTAATGGTTTATTCTTACACACAGTTATACGCTATGTTCTGTTCTTATTGATTTAGCAGATTATCCCCTACCTTTTTGTATATAATTTTGCACAAACCTGGGGCTCTCCTGATGTCCTTTTTCAGATGATGGGTTTTAATATTCTTGGATGCAAGCACGTGTGAGAAAGATTAAGTGCGCTGGTATCAGACTTGCCATTGACAGCCAAGTGGTTCATAGTTTTAATAGACTTTCTTTCTGTGACCTTTGTTTATTTTGTGTTTAATTGTTCTTCTTCCTCTTCTCTCCCACTCCCTCTTAACTTAAAACCTCTTGTGTGTGTGGTTTCTTCCTCAGCCAGAAAATATTGGTCCAGAGAGCTGCCTGTATGATCTTGCAGCTGTTGTGGTTCATCATGGCTCTGGGTGAGTGTTCATTTTGCAGATAATTTTTATTTATTTTTTGAGGGCAAAAGCTGACTGGTGTTTGCAGCATGGGATTAAAAATATACACTTCAAATCGGGTGTTATAATTTTGTAATAAGAAATGTGTACGAAATTAAAGCTGGCAAAGGATCATTAACGTTATAGCCCCACACCAAAAAACTGCAAGTTGCGAAGTCATCAGACAGTGTTTATATATTCTTATATTCAGCTTGTTTGATTGCTGCAGCTTTGTGATTTCCACGTTTTCGTTTGCACTTCTAGGAAGTGGTGTTGTAAACTCTTATACATAACCTGAGATTCTAATAAAAACGCAACAACATACGTAAATTGTGATGTCTTAGGTTTTACTACATGCTCCACATTGAAAATGGAGCTATATCACTGAGATGCACTAAATTAAGAGTTGTGGGAGAGCACAATCTTCTCTCCTAGGTTTGCTCTGCCAACATTAGAAAGAAAGACTTCTGTCAGCCAAGCCCGCCTATCCTGTTGGCTCTGTCACTACCGGCTTACTCGCACTGTAGTGAAGCAGAATGTGTGACAACACGCATCTCTGCAGCATGAGACATTGGGTACCTGTAATGGGCGGAATCCCAGCTTTATGCCACTGTGCGGAACACCACTGACACTGGTCCTGGAGCTGCCAGAGCCTCTGCTGGCTTCACTGCCACTCCACAAGCAGAATTATTGTAGACTACTCGTATACTCACTATGCACTGCCTATGGAGGAAGAATGAGTAAAAGTAATTATCTCTGCAAGGCTTTGCTTTTACATCATGTTTATTGATCATCTCCCTCTGTTTCCCTCTCCTTTTAGTGTTGGGTCTGGACACTACACTGCGTATGCAACTCATGAAGGTCGCTGGTTTCACTTCAATGACAGTACTGTGACTCTGACGGAAGAGGAGACCGTGGCAAAAGCGAAGGCATATATTCTGTTTTACGTGGAACGTCCACTTTTGGTCGTCCCTGAAAAACTCTAAAAGCCTCTCCTCTCACCCACCATCTTTTATCTTGCCCTTTGAGGGCTGATCTCTCAACCCTCTGCTCATACTTGATTAAAACACCCCTTCCTTTTTAATTTTTGCACTTTCACATTCATTGTGAGCATAGTATGACATTTGCAATTCCTCTGGTGCAAGGTCTTATATGAAATGGATAGAGAGAGAAGTCTCGCCTGTCTGGTAACTGTATTAATGTTAACGGTAGGCTCAAACTATTACATAATGCACCAAAGGGGATGCATCTAACTAGTGGCTATATAGACCTCTAGTGCCACTTTCATCTTGTAAGCCCATTTTTCTTTTTAAGTGTAAGGACACCTTGTGGGTGTTAATACTGCCAGTGTTTGAATGAGCATCCATTCAAAAGTTACGTCATCTGTGATAGACCTTCAACTTCAAGCTTGGAGCCTATTAAATAGGCACATCTTCGACAAAATTCAGGAAACTTTTTGATTTTATGACCTGCCTTAAATTGATCACTGGGAATAATTTTGAGGAGTTGTTGAAGTAGCCAGGGCATTAGAGCATTATTGCCATTGGTTCCATAAACACATTGGCATGATTCCCTATTATCAGCAAAATGTATTACAGCTCTGAGAGCCAGAGGGGGTGACCAACACATTGGCCACTCTAGCACTTTTTGGGTAAGAAGTGCCTCTTTGCATCCCATACACCTAACGCTGTGAAATCCAATCAAACATATTTTATAATGTGATTGTTCACAAGCACTCCAATTCTAGTAGGCCATTGCATTCTCTTTACTGCACTCGGTCTGCGAAGGTGAGGGTATCTAGATCTGTCTGGGTAGGAAAAACATTATGTAATGGAGCAAGTGACAAGGGGTAATTGGCTCTGGTGCATTTCAGAATGTAAGGCAAACCAGTAAAATATGGGCTTGATAATAGCCAGTGCCCACTTGATTAGTAGGATTCAAACCCATTTATTTTTATAATTTAGTTCTATTGATACGTGCTTCTATTTTCTAGACCTGCTTCTAACCATGCCCCCAGGGTTAGAGGTGAGAAATGGTAGTGTAAGATGAATGTCACTGGTGAAATATGGAGTAAATTTAGTGAACTTGCTTCAAAGTCTGTTTGTGGAAGAATCTCAAACATGGCGATGGATGACTTTTTGCACAAATTAGGAACATGCATAGTTAAACTTAATTTAGAAACAATATTGCACCCCGTGATCAGAGTGCTTGAGTGGCTCATATCGGGTAGTATCAATTTTTATGTATAAAATTCAGCTCAACTAGCTAGGCTTGGCAGATTTGCCTGTCCACGAGCGACCTGGACATTCCTGAAAGCTTGAGCCATATAAGGGAAGTTGTGTAAGAACAAACCAATAATCTGGAATGGATCCACCAATGATGCAGAGTCCGGCACGGGGATGAAATGCCACAACAGCTGAATGAAATTTGTTTTCGTATTTGTTCTCAATGAAGTCCATATTTTGAGATAAGCATAAGTTTTTTTGTTTTTGTTTTTTGTTTTTTATAGTTTAGCAATTCTCAAATTGTTAAATATCTGATCCTGCCACTGGTAACCCTTTTCACTGCCCGCATATCGAAGTGCTGCATGTTTTGATGGTACCAGGATTTGTTTTGAATTGCACCATGAGAACCTCAACACATACACAGTATGAATTTGCTGCTTAACATATAGAAAACATTGTCATGCCTTTCTGTGTGTGTCATTTTAAGTTACTGGCTTTTATTTTATGGTGTCCTGGCAATCTGTTTGTATGTGTTTTCTTCTCTTTTAAACTCCCCCTTTTTATTTTTTTTATAAATGGCAGGATATGTAGGGCATTTCGTGTCTTATAAGGGGATGTATGGATATTGGTGGAGCTTGTAAACATGACTGCCCATACACAAGCATAGCCAGAGCACCGAGGGCATTTCATCACTACACCAGAAATTCAGAATATATCAGACCAATGTTCTTGAAAGCAATTACTTCCCCATCCCCCCGCCTCCCCTTGGCTACTTTGACCAAACAAACTGCAGTTTACTTACTTGTTACACGTCACGTATATATCTATGTATTCTAGCAGCCACTGTCTACTTCTTTCTAAAACGAAAAACCAAACACAATCTTGGGAAAACTCTAACCTCAAGGCCACAGTGCACATCCACAAAATGGTCCCAGGCCTAATTGTCTTTGTTACTGGCTCAAGAAACGCTTTGTTCTGTGTGTATTGATTTAATTAGCACCATAAGAAAATGATTACTTAAAAAAAATAAAACGTGTAGCTCTGAATACATGCATACCATGCTGTACCAGCTGCAGTATATGGAAGACACAGCTGCCTTACTCCCAACGTCAGACCCATTACACAGTATTTCTATCTATATGAACAGCCGTCTCACACAGGACTGGAGTATCTTCCGTTATGTGATATTTGTATAGTTTGTAGGGAAAAAATAAAGTTCAATTGATTCTGTGCATCATGAAGCAGTGTCTGTCAGCATTTGTCTAATTAACTCCTTGATTACCTAGGTAAATGTTAAAAAACCAAACACAATTTCACCATAATCCAGTGTTGATCCTCATTTAAAGGGACACCCAAAGATTATGTATACAAATCTGTATTTATGATCGTAGAGAGTTCTGGGCTCTTGTTCTTACTGTGACTGATGCTTCTTTTTCTTGTGACATCATTCATACAGAAACATTGAGAGTAATACTGCGCATGCACAGCAATCGCCTCACAAATCCAATAGGATTCTTCCCGTAGAGACGTGCTTCTCTATGGGAAAACTTAACTGTGTGTCAATGTTTTTCTGTCATCCCTATGTCACTGTCTGATGAATGTAAACATTGCTGTTTCTCAGAAAGTTATTAAAAAGGACTGGGATATGGAAACCCCAATGCAGCTCTTTTATATACTACACTATTGGAAATCTAGTGGATTTAATTATAAATGGAAGTATTATATACCTGATGTGATCTACCATTGTGATGCTTATAATCTGGCTCATTTCTTTGGTTCACAGACACTCAAAATCCCTTCATTAACCTCCATTATAAGTTTAATTGATCCAAAACGAATTAGTAGGAACTCCCAATGGCTGACAACAGTGTAGTTTCCAGCTCAGCTGTTTGAGATTTAATCTCTTAACTAATAAAACACTACAGCTGTTGGCAACAAATATTGCAAATTTAACAGGTATAGTAGTCACAAAAAAATATTATAATAGACCGTGGCTAGAGCAGAGATTGTCATTTTTATAGTTCATGTAATCTATATTGCTTTACATTTTGACGTTTGTTTTCCCGCTGCATTGGACTGTAGCATGGTAAATAAACCCCTCTCTATAAATGATATGACAGGGCTGTAGGGACTAAATATGTTTGGAGTCGGTTCAGTTTGATGTGATCCATCCCTTATTTGGTAGCATATGAAAAGTGTTCCCCCTACAGGATGTAAAATGTATATGCCAATAAAGACTCCATTTCCCAGCTCATCATTCTTTGAAGTGTCTGCTGCATTTGTAAGGGTAGGATACGGGCAGAAAAACCACCACATTTGTACTGTGGCCGCCCAGGGAGGGAGAGGACTAGAGCTCTCTAGCCTGCATCTCTTCCGGATTCTCCTCTTGCGAGCTTGGAGTGTTGCTGTGGTTACCATGGCAACACGAGATCTTGGCTACTTATTCTGGGAGGGCACTCCGGGCACCGTAATCACTACAGAGCGCTGTAGTGGTTATTGTGCCTGGATTGTTACTTTAAATAATCTACCAGTGCCCCTGCCGAGGTTAAATTTTGGATCCGCACCTGGTCTGCGTGTATCTGCCACTGTGCATCTATATGTGAGACTGTGTCTAGGTATATGTGTGTGTGTTATTGTGTGCATGTGAGTGCATGTATATTTGCATATATATGTATTTATGTATATTACTGTGTGTGCATGTGGAGGACAAAATAGGGGGGTTACTAGACACAAAAGGTTGAAAGGGGGGTCAGTAGAAATACACAAAGTGATGAGGAGGGTGTAAAGGTTAAAATTCAGCGAGGTGGTGGCAACATAGATTTCCACCCGGAAAATTGACTTTCAGCACCTTTGCTTTAAAGAAATAAACAGGACTCTTTCAGAGAAAAAGTGACAGTTATGGTTTGGAGATTGTCTACTAGTTTTTAGGCCTTGTAAATATGTGTTTGTAAAATATAAATAATGCCAGAAAATGCTTTGCATTGGGGTTATTTTGGGAGCAGTAAATACTAGGGATGTGCATGGGCAAAAAATTCGGTTCCGAACTTCGGAAATTCCATAACCCTACCCCTACCCCTAGAAGGGTTAGAGGAATGTTATGGGTAGGGTTAGATTCCTGTCATCATTCCCTTAATTTTACTTCCTTCTCTTATTTTGCCACTTTCAGAAATCCGAAGCACTTCCGAAATTCGGTTCTGAACGGCAATTCCGAAATTCGGACCGAAACTAATTGCACATGTCTTGTAAATATCCACTTGGCTGCTGGTGTTGCTAGGCCTAATGAGATGCCCCCCTCCCTGTGACTGTCTCTATTTCAGGGTCCTGTTGCGATGTCCAATTTTGTTCCCTGGTGTCAAACACCCGGGGACCCCAGGGAACAGTCATCTGGTAGCACAGCGCAAGCACATCATTAGACGCTATTGTGTTGTGCAACGGGCACTAGTATGATTCAGAGAGCCCTGGTCCTCAATGTCGTGGGGTGGCCGGGAGATTGTCTGTGAGCCTTGGCTTGCTTGATGCAAGTTCCGTTACTGGCAGCACCAGCCCCGAAAAAAAATTGTACTATCTGTTTAAATGGAGTACCTTTATCTTACTAATAATATAGTTTGTTTTAATTTAGGTTTTGGGATGTGCTGAATAAGGCTATGTTAATGAATCTGTAAAGGCAAAATATATATCAAAAACAAAAAGGATTGGGGGCACACCGGAACGTGCCTTCTGCAGGAATGGTGCTGCTGTAGTGACCTACATTCATGCACAATACAGATTGTTACAGCACACATAAATATTATGTTGCATAGTGTGCGCTGTAACTTACTCTGCATTATGTAAGATATATAGCAAGATATGTTTTTCTAATTAATGAATGCTGAATGTAACAACAGTATAATATCTTACAGAACTCTTTGTTATAAACTACTGGAGTTAAATGACCAGCCAGACCCCTTCATTGAGAGGGTGTGATGGCCCTGTAGTATTAGCTCTTCAATCTAAATGCATTGCTGTATCTACTAACCAGCAATGTTTCCATTGATGGGTTAAACAATGGACAGGGTCTGCTCCTGTACTCCTGCCCCACCACCTTCTCCCTCGATCCTATTCCCTCGCATCTCATCCGCACTTTGTCCCCCTCTCTTGCTCTTCCTCTCGCTAACATTTTCAATCTCTCCCTTTCCTCTGGCACATTTCCCTCTGCCTTCAAACATGCAACCGTAACCCCAATTCTGAAAAAGCCCAACCTTGATCCCAACTCCCCATCCAACTACTGCCCTATCTCGCTACTGCCATTTGCCTCCAAGATCCTCGAGAGAGTTGTCTACGCCAGATTGACAGACTTTCTCGAATCCAACTCTCTGCTTGACCCCCTTCAGTCTGGATTCCGCGCTGGTCACTCTGTCGAAACTGCTGTGACCAAAGTATCCACGATTTAATTGCTGCTAAATCTCGCGGCCAATACTCTATGCTAATCCTCCTTGATCTTTCTGCCGCCTTTGACACTGTTGATCATCAACAGCTTCTTCACATTCTCCGTAACTTTGGTCTACGGGATACTGCTCTCTCCTGGTGCTCCTCCTACCTCTGCCAGCGTTTCTTTCTCTGGCTCTGCCTCTTCTCCCCAACCCCTCCCTGTCGGCGTCCCCCAAGGTTCTGTCCTCGGCCCCCTACTGTTCTCTATCTATACTGCCTCCCTTGGTAAACTCATCAGCTCCTTTGGCGTCCAATACCATTTATATGCAGATGACACGCAAATCTACCTGTCCTCCCCTGATCTCTCTCCGCCCACCTTGACTCGTGTTTCTGACTGCCTCTCTGCTATTTCCAACTGGATGGCCAGGGCCGTCTTTAATAATGATTGGGCCCGGGGCAAGCATTTGATAGGGCCCCCTGACCCTAACTCCCTGGCATGCAATCACGATCTCCACTTCCCAACGCAGTAACGGAACCATTTTCCCATGCTTGCAGAGTTGTATTTAGCACTGAGTTGTGTTTGTGTGTTGGAATGGAAGCATGTTTTTGTATGGAGTGTGTTTGTGTAAATGTAGGGGTGTGTTTGTAGGTGGTGTTGGTGTTTGAATGCAAGCATGCATCTGTGTATTTTTTTTTTTAATGCTGGGTGTGTTTATATATATTTTTGGTGTTTAACACAAAGATGTATTTGTATGTATTGTTGACGTTTCAATGCAGGACTGTGTTTGTATGTAGTGTTGAAGGTTGAATGCAGGGGTGTACTTGTGTGTAGTGTTGGCGATTTGAATGATGAGATGTACGTACATGTACACATACACTGCCACACACACACACTGTGATACACAAATACACACTGAAACACATGCAGATACATAGATATAAACACTGACACTCACACTAACACACAAGCAGATACAGACTGACACAGATACACACACTAACACATACAGACACACAGATACACAACCTGACACACATACGGAGACAAATATACAAACACTGACACATATGAATACTCAGACACACTGATACCTATACTGACACACATGCAGATACACAGATAAAAACACTGACTACATACAGATGCACACACACAGATATACAAACGCAGGTACACACACTGACAACGTACAGATACACAAATACATACAATGATAACTTACAGATACACACACTGACACACATACAGACACGCATATACAAAACCTGAGACACATGCAAAGACACACAGACCACATAGAGAAACAGATATACTAAATACAGATACACAGATATACATACTGACAGACACAATGACACACTGACATAGTGACACACACTGACAGACATACTGATAGACACACAGACACCCTGACAGACATACTCTCACACACATACTTAGATACACACAGACATACTAAGACACACACAAATACTGACACACACATGCAACGTTTACATTTTTACACATTGACAGGCATACTGACACAGTGACAGACAAACTGACATGCACACTCACAGACAAACTGAAACGCACAGACAGACATACTGACACAACACAAACTGACATGCACAGACAGACAAACTGACACACACAGACAGACATACTGACACACACACATAAGCCCTGACAGACATACTGACACACACAGACATACTAAGACACACATACTCACACACACAGATTTACTGACACACACAGACACCCTGACACACAAATACCGTGACAGACAAACTCACACACATACACACATACTAAGACACACACAGAAACCCTGACATACATACATACTCACACACATACTAAGACACACAAATACTGACACACACACATGCAAAGTTTACATTTATAAAGCCACCCTCCAGCCCTACCTTATGGATTCCCTGGGGTCCAGTGGCAGGCTGAGGTCGTTGGGAGTGTGAGGCTCCTGCACTCCAGCTCCCTCCTGACGGCCTCCTGCTCCATCCCGCGCGGCTTCATTCTATCTGGGAGGAAGTGACTCACGGCAGTCACTTCCTTCCAGCCTGCTGCAGTAAAACAAGGGGGCCAAAGTGACGACCGGGGCCTCTTAGTATGGGGGCTCCCGGTGCAGCCGCAGCACCGGCGGACCTAGGGGGTAGCGGACAGCGGGGCCCACGGGGTAGCTGCTTTGGGCCCCCCAGGAGCAAGTGGGCCCAGGGCAGCTGCCCCGTTTGCCCCGCTTTAAAGACGGCCGTGTGGATGGCTGCTCACTTCCTTAAACTCAACCTGTCCAAAACAGAACTAGTTTTTCCTCCCTCAAATGCTGCTACTCCTGTGTCTGTCTCCGTCCAAGTCAACGGTGCTACTATCACCTCTACCTCCAAGGCTCGCTGCCTAGGGGTTCTTTTTGATTCTGATCTCTCTTTTACTCCCCATGTTCAATCGATAGCCAAATCCTGTCGCTTCCAACTCAAGAACATAGCGCGGATCCGCCCATATCTAACGCCGGACGCGGCTAAGGTACTGGTTCATGCTGTGGTTCTCTCTCGCCTTGACTACTGCAATCTCCTTCTCACCGGTCTTACATGTTCCCAGTTTGCACCGCTGCAATCTATAATGAATGCGGCTGCGAGGCTTATTTTCCTGTCCGGTCGCACCTCCCACACTCTGTCAGTCCCTGCATTGGCTTCCAATTAGATATAGGGCCCAATTCAAAATTCTGGCGCTTGCTTACAAATCCCTACTTAATGCTGCTCCAACATACCTATCCTCCCTCATACACAAGTATGTCCCGTCGAGACCCCTGCGCTCAGCCCAAGACCTACGCCTATCCTCTGCCCGGATCCCCACCTCTAATGCTTGCCTTCAAGACTTCTCCAGGGCTGCACCTATTCTGTGGAACTCCCTTCCTTCCTCAATCAGACTTTCACCCAGCCTCCACTCCTTCAAAAAATCTTTGAAAACTCACTTCTTCATTAAAGCGTATCAATTAAACTGTCAGCAGGTTTCTCATCCCCCACCCCATGCCTCCGTTCCTGCACCTGTCAAAAATGACCTACCAAGCCCTCAATAAACCCTTCTGTTACAAACTATTTAATTCCCCTACTTTAACCCTTTGTGTCACTATACCCCACTCCCTCTAGCATGTAAGCTCACCGAGCAGGGTCCTCAACCCCCTCTGTTCCTGTACATCAGTGGTCTGATCTCAATTATGTGTCTGTTAGTCCACCCATTGTACAGCGCTACGGAATTTGTAGGCGCTATATAAATAATAATAATTGAGAGGGTGTGATAGCCCTGTAGTATTAGCTCTTCAATCTAAATGCATTGCTGTATCTACTAACCAGCAATGTTTCCATTGATGGGTTAAACACGCCTTTTCTGACAGCCACTGCAAAGGGCCATTTTGATTGGACGCGCTGGACTTGGGGCGCACACACATCTCGTTCCCAATGCTCCTCTAGGGAGGGCATTAGATTGGGCAATAATTGATGACTTTGCAGGAGGAGGATGAGGTGGCAGCACCAACTGATTCTCGGCACTAGAAAAAAAAGGTAAGTAAAACCATATTTTTTCTCAATTATTTTTACAGGTCAAAAGTGGGGAGCACTGATTCGAACTATAGAGAAGGACACTAGCAATACATGTTTATATTCCTAACGCCCAGTCCTTGATTTATCAATTCTGTACCCATATCCTCCCTTTCCCCTAAAGTGTCCCTCAAAGTCCCTTTGCCATTTTGGGAGGTATGCTAAATGTAACTGTGTAATACTAGCCTACGTGATATCAGCAAGTTCTGACGGTTCTGTAATATGGCATTTCATCTCCGCCTAAGGACAAGGTGTAGAGAATTCTTCTACCACTAGGAGAATTTCAGTCGTATTGCAATTACATGGTCATAATGAGTTATTGGATCACACCAGATTTATTTTCCATGATATTATATATATATATATCTCTGTAGAGAGAGAGATGGCAGTCAGTACATTGATGTCATACTAGGCAGCATTTTACCAGATTTAGAAAGCCTTGCTGAATTATCATCCACGTGGGAAATGTATCTATTCCTGCAGTGGGTGTCGGGACGCTGTGCTCTGGGGTTGGAATGTTTAGGTTACCCTAATTCTTATAAATCGATACCTGACAGTGCAATAGTTCATCTCCTTTTACTGTGCACCTGGGCCTTGGCCACCATACATATTCTAAATTTCGTGGATCCCAGGTTTTAAAGAATTTTTTTAGTTTATTTTTTGGGATCTAAAATCCCTTCTTTTCCTAGAATTTATGAAAGATCATGGAGTGATTTCCAAGACAAACCTTTTCATGTTCACAGTTTCTTCCATCCTTTCTATTCTATATAAATTGGAATCTACATTTTTTTCTTTCCTGTACTATCCTAGTTCCATTTTAAAATAAATGCCTCAATAAAGGCAGATTTGATCGTAAATGCGCACTCCCCTACCCCCTAATGTGTATTTTTATTTTATTTTTTACCAAAAACATCCCAATAGTTGAGTTGGAGAATGTATTTGATTCTAAAATTCTGTACCTAAAACTTGCCAATCACTGCTCATTCATTTCCTGAGAACTCCCAGTTTATTAAGAATATTTACATGGTTATTTATCTAACACTATTATTAACTCCCGGCAGGGTTTCATACAATCCTTTGTTTGTACACCTACAGGGTTATTCACCAATGTAAAAATTGTCAGGAATCAAAGCAAATTCAATATGAATCTCATTTTATACTAAAGTAGCCAAATTGGACAAAATCCAAGTCCACTATACTTTCAGTTTAGTGGTTTTGACATTCACACTGGATCCCTTACCATCCATATTTTGGTAAGCAACCATTCCATTTCACCCTTCTGTTTGCTCCGTATGATCCCTTCCTTTAATAGTTTCTATTTTTCTGCGTAATTGCCATGTTACCTCCAACTGATCCAGACAGGTGCATCATGCATGTGTTGGAGGAGGCAGACAGCTTTTATGAACAACCATCTGTTCCTTACAATGTGCCTTCAGTCAAATTATGGCGTAACTTCATATTATTCAAGCAAAAAAATTAAAAATGAAGCATTAATACATAACATTATTCACATTTTAATTCATTCCAAATGTTAAACTCAATGTTCTAGAACAGGAATTCAGAATGAATTTGAGTTGCACAGATACACACAAACTCAAACTAAAAACTTATCAGTAACTTGAATCCCATCCACGCCGACTCTATATATAACTTCTTTGGCAGCTGCTCGGACACAAGTTCCTTCCATAAATGTCCAGGCCTTATATCTAGAGCTGCACAGATAGGCACAATGTCTGGGAGATATCATTGGGAAAGTCTAACATAACATCGCTGGTGAATGTTCGGAGGATTTACGATTTGCTAAAGAAGTACAGATCATTCATTTTATTTATTATTGGAAGAATTTAAAGAACCAGAATTGCATGGTGTTTTTTGTTTAAAAAAACAACGTATTTTTTAAAAACTATTTGGGTGTTTTAAAACCAACAACTGTAGCGCAGTTAAAACAAATAACTTGCTCTACGTGCCACTCAAACTTTTTCGAATGAGAAAAACATAAAAGATTTTTCAACATGCTTATAACACAACTGAATCGCGAGTGCCTTCTGCATTTATTTTCCTTTCTGGACAAAGACAGTAGACTACGACTATCTCAGACATGCCGTGACTTAATGCTGGTTTTCCAGGATCCTTTGCTGTGGCCCTTGTTAAGTTTCAGCTCCCTGGCAGAACTTACGAAGAAGAATTATATTTTAGGCCCGGCTCTGAAGTATTTATCAGTTTGTTGGTATTCCAGCCGGGTGAAAATTTGCAACATTGAGGACTGGGATAAAACTAGCTTGCAGAAATCTATGTGCAGCCAACACCAGAACATAGTGAGTGACTTTCTGTTAAAGGTCTCAGACAGGTAAGTGCAAGTTAATGGAGCCCCTCTGATTTTATAATATAGAATATACTGAAAGCTTTAATGAGAATCGTCCAAACCTTGATGCACTCCAACTCCAAAAATGTTTGCTACCAGTTGCTCAGCAACACTTGTATACAAAAATAGATCATATACACACGCATGTGTAAATAGTGGGCATGTACAGGGATTTTCAAGTGTTGGAAATTCAATGTAAATCTAAAATGTAAACTTAGTAAGAGATATTTATAACATTGTGCTGATTAGGGTACAGTTGTAACATTTTAATGATTGCCAGTGAGATGTTCTCATGCAAATTCCCGGCAGGGGAGACCTAATGTGCATGCGTGGCGATGGCTGTACTTCCACAAAGGAAAGCCTGTATAATGCTTTCCTGTAGGTTTCGGATGATGCTGGATGTCCCCAATGCATAGTGTGAGAATGTCCAGCATCAGTTTGGCAACCAAAAGTCAACAAATGACCCAGAAATTCCTCTAGTGGCTGTCTGGTAGACTACCACTAGAGGTGGAATTAACCTTCAAAGGTAATTATTGCAGTTTATTAAAAAATTATCACTGCAGGGTTAAGGGCTGAAGTGGTCTGGGTGCCTGTAGTGTCCCTTTAATAACTTTGCCTTACTTTTCTGATCACACCGCACTTTTATAAATATAGTTCTAAATCTCCAATTATGTTCAGGCTGCTGGAGAACCACTTCTTCATTATAAAGCATCAGGATGTCCCTCTATATAGGTAGGAATAGTTAAAACAGCCCCTTGTCTTTTCAATGCAATCCTTAGTTTAATGAGAAAACTGGTTGTTCAGAATTATTGAGGGAATAGCAAATATGAGGCCAAAATATCCCTCCTAGATAATAGTTGGAATATAGGGGAGATCTTCTCATGTTTGTCAGACACAGAGGGGGCTGTATGTATAAAATACTGACTTGGAAACATTTGACCTGACAATCCATGTTGCACAGTTTAATTAGGAGAATCTTTACTAAAAGATTAATCTATTGCTACTGCCATTACGGTCCAAGCATTGCTTTATTGGACATTAGAATTATCCTCGTGTTTAATCGGTCAATTAATTTTTACATTTGCTTCAATATGTGACCTGTGCATTTAGACTTGGAAATCTCTGTTCCTTTCTCCTAGGTGCCCAAATCTACGTTCACTGACACTGTCTGGCTGTGCTCACGTGACCGATGAAGTCCTCATCAAGATACTATCTAGCTGTCCCCAGCTGCGTAACCTCAAACTGGAAAACTGCTCTGGAATGAGTGATCGGACATTGGCCGCGATCCCCACTTTTGCAGGTCGCCTCCATATTCTCCACGTTAACTTTTGTCGAAATGTAACGCAGAGCGGGCTGTGCCAAGTGCAGGAGAGATGTCCTCGCCTTGTCATGCAGGCTATTAGAAGCGCAGATATGATTGCGGATAGAACCCCTGAGCCAATTCTTCAGAGGATTCCCCGCAAACTCATTCTACGATAACAGGATATATAATTATTATTTTTTATTATAATGGTATAAGATTTACAGGAAAATACGTGACAATTAATATTTCTAATGTGCAACTTTTTGACTTTTTTATAGCTAAATAAAATAATTTCTATTTAAAAATGAGAGTTCCTGCGTGATGTCATTCTACATATCTTATTATACATTCGATTATATTAGGCAAATCTTACTGGCAGTGGTTCTCTCCTTCAAAAACTTTAAGCTGTCTATATTAAGTTTACTTTGGATAAATGTTCTATATTTTGATGGTTAACCCACCAACCAAATTAATGGAACACTCCACAGAGCTAATTATTAAAAAAAAAAATATATATATATATATATATATAAAAAAAATAACGTTTCGTGCATGTATTCATTGAGGGTATATTTTAAAAGAGATTGCAAAAGCTGCAGTTCTTATGAACTGCAACCTTTGCAAGCCCTCCCCTTTTCCCTGGAAGAGCTTCTGAAGCTATCCCACCTTGTGTGCATCTGCATTCAGAAAGAAAGCTGGTGTGATAGAATGTCTGAGCAGGAATGCGGAGGAGGCATGCACGCTCAAATAGAATGCACTTGCCACTTCTGTTAGCTCAGGGGAGCTAAAGGAAACAAATCTTCATGGCTGTTTGACAGCCAGGGGGTGTTTCATTATTTAATAACAAAAGTTATGACTTCTCATAGAATCATAGATTGGGATGGCAGATAAGAACCATTCGGCCCATCTAGTCTGCCCAATTTTCTAAATACTTTCATTAGTCCCTAGTCTTATCTTATAGTTAGGATAGCCTTATGCCTATCCCACACTTGCTTAAACTCCTTTACTGTGTTAACCTCTACCACTTCAGCTGGAAGGCTATTCCATGCATCCACTACCCTCTCAGTAAAGTAATACTTCCTGATATTATTTTTAAACCTTTGTCCCTCTAATGTAAGACTATGTCCTCTTGTGGTAGTTTTTCTTCTTTTAAATATTGTCTCCTCCTTTACTGTGTTGATTCCCTTTATGTATTTAAATGTTTCTATCATATCTCCCCTGTCTCGTCTTTCCTCCTTGTTAGATCCTTTTTATCAAGTGCCTTTTAAATCGAAAACTCCTCACTCACACTTAGAACCCTGATTCTAGTTTGAAAACTCAGACGCACTTACCTCACTCGGTTACCGGACGGGAGGTTTCTTACACACAAATAAATCAGACACATAAAGAAGCAGGTGCCTTCAGTATGTTTAATTCATTTTTTTTTTTCTGCATAACTAATCCTGCACAGGCAATTTCTCAATTAAAACAAAATAAATAGGAATATTCATGTAAAACGGTTCTCTTAGGGTGAACAATAAGTGCACCAATATACAACAATTCAAGTACACAGACCGGGTACACTGGACAACCGTGCCAGCTCCACGGCCATTTGCCCTGTCTCTCTCAAAAAAAAATAAAATAAAAAAAACAGACCAAAAAAAAAAAAATCTGCTCTCCATGCAACAATTGATGCTGCATGAGAGACGATTTCGATGTGGTAGATTTCACAAAATAGGGGGAAAATTAAATACTTTTTTGGTAAAAGAAAACGATACTGTGGATCTATGAAATGCCTGTTATTCTCCTAACCACTTCACTGCTGGAAAGTGGGAGACCGGATATGACGTTGGAGGTTAGGTAGGGGGTCAGTAGTCTGTGTCTGATCCTTCCGCATTGTCCACATTGCGGGACAACATGTAATTGTCCATGTCAATGGATCGGCAGTTGTTGATTGCATAGCGCAGACGTTCGGCCATCACTGGCTGGCTGGAGTACGGTGGGAGCCGTAGTTGAAAGAAACAGGTCTGTGAGGTAGGCAGACTGTCGTGAGGCTGGAAAGATACAGGGAAAAAGATATTATATTGAACCTTCATTACAGCAAAAACAAACCACAGAAATTGTACTATTATATCAGTCATGCAAGTGACAAACAAAAAAATATATCCAGTCTTCAATCTCTAAAAACTCTCTGAATTATCTGGCTTCAGTACATACTTGGAATGTCAGATTTTTTATTTTTATGCATTTTACACTATAGTCACCATAACAACTACAGCTTAATGTAGTTGTTCTGGTGAGTATAATCATTGAGAAAAGGCAGTGTTTACATTGCCCCTAGGGACACCTCCAAGTGGCCACCACTCAGATGGCCACTGGAGGGGCTTCCTGGCTCAGTGCTACACAGTAGGCAGCCGTGCCATTCAACGTCTCAACACTCTGCATGGGGACGCTGAATTTTCCTCAGAGAAGCATTGATTCAATGCATCTCTATGAAGACGTGCTTATTGGCCAAAAACAGTGTTTGGCCCCGCCCCCTTGCCGATTTTAGCAGTGGACATCACTGCTGGAGGCAACATTGGGGTTAAACCGTTCTAACGGTTTAGCCCTTGAGGTAAGAGGGCCTCCTGGCACCATAACAACTTAATACATTTAAATAACTTTTGTTTCTGTCAATGCAGTCCTAGCCACACCTCCCCTGGCAGTGGCTCACACAGTCTGCATTAAAAAAAATTGATTCATTTTCAATCAGGTATTAACTTGCTTTGAAAGTTTTTATCTCCTGATCTACAAATTTAACCTTAATTTAGAATCTCCTGCTCTGGTAATAGCCTTCTAGACCCTGCAGGAGCCTCCTGTATGTGATTAAACAGAATGTGCAATAAAGGAAGTTTAGACATTAGATCTCTTTTTACAGGAAGTGTTTGGGAAGGCTGTGTAAGTCAAATGCAGCGCGATGTGACTAGGGCTGTATAAACATAGTAATATAACTCCTAAATGGCAGAGAATTGAGCGGTGAGACTGCAAGGGGAATGATCTATACACAAAAACTGCTTCATTCAGTTGTTTTGGTGACTATAGTGTTCCTTTAAGATTTAATTATGACACAATTTGAAGTTTAGTGAATAAACTGCTAGGCAATTGCAAAGTGGCAATAAAACCCCAAACCTCTAGTTTCACCTAAACATTTACCACCTGTGTAAACCCAACACTGACAGCTAGCAATATGCAAGTTATCGCCTTACCCTATCAACCTTCATTATCTGGAAGCGCTGGGAGATGTCTGCAGTGTTGGCTGGAAGCCGGGATCTGCCAGAGACAAACCTCATGAACAGGACTCTCTCTTCATTAGAGAATTCATCCAGTGTCTGCCAGAACCACTGCACCAGTTGGTGTTGCTCATCCACTTCCCGGTATCGTACTACCTTCTTCAGGACATCCACTGAGATCTCCGGCATCCCACACACCATCTGCTCTAGATGCCGGGCAGTAAGAAGGGAGAGGAGGGGAACAGGGACAATCCACGACATACCTTCTCGTACTGCTGCTACCTATAAGTGCATCAAATATACATTAGATTTGGCACCTCAACAGGTTTCTCATCATTGATAATTTGTATTTTTTTTGCTTCCACATCTATCTGCGATTTGACTAGATTACGATCTGTTACTCCTGGCATTCACAACTGAACACAACTCTATGCTATATCTCAAAAATATGTATTTATGCAAGACATTTAAAATGCTACCAGTGATTAGTTAATTTTAGTCATCATCATTTTCTCTTAAGACATACATATGTATTAATTTAGGCCAAACATAGCCCCAAGTAACTGTTAAATGTGAAAACATTTAATTGTATGTTGCTCAGAGTCCCATTGCATATTCATATACAGTTGCAAGAAAAAGTATGTGAACCCTTTGGAATGATATGGATTTCATAAAATGGTCATAAAATGTGATCTGATCATCATCTAAGTCACAACAATAGACAATCACAGTCTGCTTAAACTAATAACACACAAAGAATGAAATGTTGCCATGTTTTTATTGAACACACCATGTAAACATTCACAGTGCAGGTGGAAAAAGTATGTGAACCCTTGGATTTAATAACTGGTTGAACCTCCTTTGGCAGCAATAACTTCAACCAAACGTTTCCTGTAGTTGCAGATCAGACGTGCACAACGGTCAGGAGTAATTCTTGACCATTCCTCTTTACAGAACTGTTTCAGTTCAGCAATATTATTGGGATGTCTGGTGTGAATCGATTTCTTGAGGTCATGCCACAGCATCTCAATTGGGTTGAGGTCAGGACTCTGACTGGGCCACTTCAGAAGGCGTATTTTCTTCTGTTTAAGCCATTCTGTTGTTGATTTACTTCTATGCTTTGGGTCATTGTCCTGTTGCAACACCCATCTTCTGTTGAGCTTCAGCTGGTAGACAGATGGCCTTAAGTTCTCCTGCAAAATGTCTTGATAAACTTGGGAATTCATTTTTCCTTTGATGATGGCAATCTGTCCAGGCCCTGACGCAGCAAAGCAGCCCCAAACCATGATGCCCCCACCACCATACTTCACAGTTGGGATGAGGTTTTGATGTTGGTGTGCTGTGCCTTTTTTCCGCCACACATAGTGTTGTGTGTTTCTTCCAAACAACTCAACTTTGATTTAATCTGTCCACAGAATATTTTGACAGTATTGCTGTGGAACATCCAGGTGCTCTTGTGCAAACTGAAAACGTGCAGCAATGTTTTGTTTGGACAGCAGTGGCTTCCTCTGTGGTATCCTCCCATGAAATCCATTCTTGTTTAGTGTTTTACGTATTGTAGATTCGCTAACAGGGATGTTAGCATTTGCCAGTGACTTTTGTAAGTCTTTAGCTGACACTCTAGGATTCTTCTTCACCTCATTGAGCAGTCTGCGCTGTGCTCTTGCAGTCATCTTTACAGGACGGCCACTCCTAGGGAGAGTAGTAGCAGTGCTGAACTTTCTCCATTCATAGACAATTTGTCTTACCGTGGACTGATGAACAGCAAGGCTTTTGGAGATACTTTTATAACCCTTTCCAGCTTTATGACAACAATTTTTAATCGTAGGTCTTCTGAGAGCTCTTTTGTGCGAGGCATCATTCACATCAGGCAATGCTTCTTGTGAAAAACAAACCCAGAACTGGTGTGTTTTTTATAGGGCAGGGCAGCTGTAACCAACACCTCCAATCTCATCTCATTGACTGGACTCCAGTTGGCTGACATCTCACTAAAATTAGCTATTGGAGATGTCATTAGTCTAGGGGTTCACATACTGTTTCCACCTGCACTGTGAATATTTACATGGTGTGTTCAATAAAAACATGGCAACATTTAATTCTTTGTGTGTTATTAGTTTAAGCAGACTGTGATTGTCTATTGTTGTGACTTAGATGATGATCAG